TTTTTTTTTTTAATTAAAAGACAGTTTTAAAGCATGTTGGACTTCAAAAACATGAGTTTGTTCATGTCTTCTGGACTGAGCAGCCGCCTCCTTTTGATTAAGAGCGCCTGCTCACACATATTTACACATTCACTTCTGGCCCCGACAGCAGGCACTGCTAAGAGCCAAAAGGCCAACTTGGCTAGTTTCGTATGCTTTTGGGTAACACATGACCAGTACTGAAATAGATCAGGGGTGGCCTGGAAGAGGGGTTCTTGCAAATAATCGTAGACTTCATTTTTCCCAAACTGCTCTTCTTCCTGAGCTGGCGGGGCCTCCCCTGCTGCCCGTGGTTTCTTGGTAGAAGGTTCAAATTCTGGTTCTTCTGCCCAGGACTCTTTCACTTCATTGATCAATTCACAGACCTTGCCAATGATCTCTTCATGCTGGTATGGTGGGACTGGCCGCAGCTTCTGCTGAGGGTCCAAAATCATGGCTACTTTGTGTGCAGAGTGAACTTTGAAGTTCTCCTTCAGTGCCTCCAGGAAGAGGTGGCAAAGCTTGCTGACTATGCCAGCGTCATTGGCTTTGGAAGTGAACAGTTTCTCCAGTTTCACGTAGGTGGGCAGTACCAGCTGCAGGGTGGGCCGGCTCTCATTGCTCAGTTCAATCACTGCTTGTTTCACCGGGGCCAAAATAGCCGCCAGGTTGCTGAGAAGATGCTTGTTCAGGTTTTGGATGAGGTTCATCTTCTTGGCTCTGCTGTAGAACTCGCATATCTGCTCATAACGCTCATGGACAAGCAGGAGGGAGTCAGTCACTGAGTTCCAGCAGGGTGGGGGAGACGTCTCCTCCAGAGAGCCAAAGGTCTCCTTTGAGAGGCCCGTGGATCCTGCCAAATCTTCACAGACATTCAGGAGCTCGATGACTTCGTGCATGTTGCGAGCCTGTAGTGTTCGCTTACTCAACACGCTCTGCACGACTGAGTTCAAGGCACAGGCCGAACAACGCAAGCACATGCCTGCCTTGGAGAATGCAGAGGAGTTGACTTTGCAGTCGGTGACGTACACTGTCCTGATTTCCGACATCACAAACTCAGACATCACGTTCTGCACCCAGTGGTGGATAAAATCACCATTATCTCGGATGTCCACACCCTTAATTCCCAGGACATAACTCTTGATGTGGTTGCCTTCAACCTGATAAGCTGTCAGGATGTAGCAGGAATCAGGGCCAACGCTCTGAGAGTGGCAAGTGACTCCTATGCCTAGGCAGGCATTGCTGCCCAGGGCGCAGGTGACTTTCACTTTCACTTGGTTGTACATCCGAGGCAAATGCTTCAGCGCCAGTGTGTTGAAGTTGCCAAGGATTTCTGTGACAGAGAAAGCACCGTAGCGAGCACCACTATCCACCAAGGTCTGGGCCAGCTTGATGAATTCCTTCCCGCTCACCACACTCAAAGCTCCGAGGTCGGTGCACATGACCCGCAGCAGCCTTTCAGCAATGTTCTGCCGCTCCTTCTCCGGGATTGCACTGTTTGCTACTGAACCACTTGCAGATGCTGCAGAAAAACAGAAAGAAACTTGTCAGGATCATTCCTTCTACCCAAGGAACAGGAACAACAAGGCCAGAATTTTTCCTCTGCACTTGCCCAGAGTATGGCAGGTACAGATCTATTCCTGAACCTAGGATTTCCAGTGGGCCTCTATACCAAAGTGTTTCTAAATTCAGGCTGATCCAATGATGGACTTTTTCTCTTGCTTATAGCAGAGAGGAGCTTATCAGTATGTTTTCCCTGATTCAGTAACAGAAGCATAGCAAAAGTGGATTATGCAGGATTCAGCTGTCCACATGGCCTTGGGCAGCTGCCCTCTGTCCCTCCCCAGAGACCTCTCTGTGGCACTGATCTAGGAGTTGTCTAATTAAGTTATAATCAAGGATGGTCCTGGTTTACAGGGTTAGCCGTTAGATCTTCGATTCACCTGGTATGACTTAGTGTGCTAGGTTGGCCTTTCCATTCTTCTTCTATTTAGAATTCAGGACTCACATTAGCATCACATTATTTTAATAAGAGCTGCATCTACCTCAGTTTTGTCTGTACAAGAAGTCTGGCTTTTTTGGTCAACTGTACAGGCCTGAACACCAGTGTAGATTGAGGTTTTCTTTCTCCTTCCCCAGCTCTAGTCTAGTTTTTGTGACAGCTGCTGGGCTTTATTGTTGTTTCTGCCATTTTTGGACACACCACAGTACACAAAATATTAGGGTTTTAATGCATCTTGTTTCCACAGGGAAGCTCGGCTGAGGTATTGTATCACTGCTGCTTTTATTTAAAAAAAAATACCCTCATTTCCCACACGGTTTGTGACTGAAACACAAAATCATGTGACTTGCCCAAGATCCGGTAGCGAATCAGTGGTTGAGCTAGAACCTTGTTGGCTGCCAGTAACTCTCTGGTGATGCCTAGGGCAATGATCTCTTTCCCTACGGCAAGGAAATCCAGACTCAGCCCAGAAGTTACGACTCCCAGCAAGGCTAGTCTTGTTAATGAGTTCGGAGACAGGAGCTCTCTTCTCAGCTTTTTTCCTACCATGACTACATTTCCATCACTTCCCCTGGAGTTTCCAGCTATCCTCTACCCAGATTTCAGAGGCGCTTTAGTGGGAATGAGTACAATAGTTTATAGGGTGCTAATGGCACCTGAGATCTGGTGTGACTAGCTGAGAAAAAATACATGAGAAAAGTACTCCCGACAGGTGCGGGACATGGGCTTCGACCTGCCTGAACCACTGCTGTGACCCCACCAGGTACAGAGCCATTGATCCAAGGCCTACAGGGAAACGTAATGAGAAATCATGGCTACATACTATTATTGGCATTGTTTCTTTGGAGCTGTGGTTTCCACTTTTCTTCCACAACAGTCAGAGGTGATCTGGGTTGGTTAGAGGCAATATTGTTCTCATTGTCAGCTGTGGGGCATAAACAAGAAGGAGTTAATCAGAGGCGTAAGAGGAGCGTTTCCTCGCGATATTAAGGGAGACACACACACACACAGCCGGCCATGTGCCAGGATGGATTGTGGGGCTACGAGGAATGCCGACTCTCCAGAAGACAGCAGGATAAAGAGAGCTGAACAGAAAAGGGGAAAATCTCCATTTACTACTTAACATTTACTTTTGTTTTCCTTAATTAGTATGACACCAATTTATTACATTTTCTGTTGCATTTAATATATATATTACCCACAGTAGAGAACAATATTATCATAAGGCTTGAAAACAACCAATCCTCATGTAATTTCCACTTGGGTTTCCCAGCTTCTGTAGCCCCCGTCTGAGTCCCTACCAAAAGGATTACAGCTAAAATGGCTGCCACGGTGCTCTGACCCCAATCCCAGTGTAACACCATGCCGCTGGGTGGGTCATCAGCAGTGGGGAGCTAACCTGGGACCTCTGAATATTAATGCATGGGCTACTGCATGAGCGAAAAGAGCCTCATGTGACTGTGTAGCCGGCTGGCTCATCAATCTCTAGATGGGCTAGCCAACATGAGAGGGGGACAGAAGACATACCAAGGAGGCATGACCTACAACAGTATGCTTGGAGTCAGGGACTGAAGGAACTAAAAATCTCTGCTGTGGCCAATAGGGAGGCTTCTGCATGGGTTGATCTGGACAAGCAGTCCACTGGACCAATCACAAGCCTGCAGTGAGCTAATGGGAGAAGGAGCAGCCTGACAGAAAAAGAGAGTTTTGAGTTTGGAAGCTGGGAGAGAGACACCTTGTTTGGGTGCTGCATTGGCAACACACTGGACCAACATCCCACGGGAACTCATTTAAAGGCGATACAGGAAATGGTTGAACATGGAACCAGAACACAACCTGGCTAACTAAGCTGCTATTCTGCAGCAGAAGATCAAGTCTAACAGGGTAGGGATTTGGTGTGGGCATGTCATGGGTCCCTCGACATGTCTGAGGGACGCAAAGCTTTACATGGTGTGTCCAGAATGGACTGTCCAGTGTTTGGAGGGCCCAGTGCCATGCTCCAAGACAGCAATCAGCTGGAGGAAAGGCTACTAGTATGTCGGGTCTCTAGAGGGGGTTGGGGATAAAGTAGAAGCAGGCGTCCCCACATGATAAACTAGGAATCAGAAATGACTGGTTCTTCCCCAAGTTTGTCTATTCTAACGGCTCCATAGGAAACATCAGAAATGGCATTAACTCTGCATATGTACTGGTAGGTTAATGAGACATGCCTCGTGTCTGCTATTAACTTTGTTCCATTAAGGCCCGTTCACATGTCAGCCTTCTTCTGGTCTTGGCAGGGGAAAAACTGTATTTCCTTTATCTATTTCATAATAGTAGGGGATTTATTATGTGCAATTATCCGTTGGCGTTCAATGCGGAGTTAATAAGATTTGTGCATTTCAGTTTCATCCTCCTTATCAGTCAGGTTGTGAACTATATAGATCATGGTTCTTTAATTTCTCTTCATGCCTCCAATCCTTTAATCCAGGTTCAGCCTAGTTGTCCTTTTTATTTTTTAGCACTAGATTGCAGAAAAGGCATTATATGGTAGCACTCGACCTGAACAAAGTACCCTAAAGGGAGTGAAAGCTGGATATTGTACTGTGTAATTACAGAACAAATTCCTTTGCCTTGTATTCTGCCCTTCTAGTTCTGCATCTCAGCCTCCAATTTACATTCTAATCACTTCTTCCCATTGTGTAGCTATAATCTTCCCTAATTACCCTTTTAGCCTCCAGAATCACTGAAGTGCCAACAAGCCCCTGCTCTCACTCCTCGGGGCTTGCAGGACTTCAGTCACTTACGGAGGAGGGACCAATGGACTCCTCATTTGGAGTGGAAAGAGATTAGACATTTACTACAAATGTTATGAAAGTTAAACTGGATTTCTGCATGGCTACAAATGCATTCAATGTGCAGTTATACCAGATCCCACATGCCTCAGGACAATACACTACTACTAGAGGCACAGTTATACTGTACTCGACAATCCACAGTTACGCCAGATTCCTCAGTCCAGCTGGGGAAGGGATACAAGCCGTGTTGTGTGTCACTGATTATGCAATTCATTCGTTCAACAGTATGCCGGAGAGTCCCTGCCACTGAGAGCGCAGGGGTGCAGTACAGACACTCATCTGCAACTGCCTTTATTTCTCAGTTATGCAGCGCTCCACACTGAATGCGCGATTACGGGGTCTCTCTCAGTAACTGTGGTCATTATATTGTTTCAACCATTGCGCTGGTTGGTTACCACCTTCAGAATCTGACATCCCAATAAATAAAGCTGCCTTTAGCAATGGCACCCTCCTTGCCTTGCCCCCCACTTAAACCCAGATAATAAATACAAAGTAATTCATACCAAGCCATTATTACTCTTAGTGGGAAATGGGAGGGAAGACGAACTCTCCCTCGGGGGGGGGGGGGGGAGGACGGAGAAGAGCTAACGTACCATGATGCGATAGGCACCACATGAAGATCCAAGATAGGCAGAAAGGAGGTGCAAGGGACAGGCGTCAGACGAGGGTTAAGTTAGGTGATAGGCAGGGAGGGTATTATGTTTTCTGTGGACATGGGGATGGGACATTCTGAGGGCTGCGGCCAATCAGATCACTGTGATTTATAAGTATCTAGAGAGCTGGGTGAGGTGACAGAGGGCACAGCTCAGTAGGAATAAAAATCACGTAAGGGAGCTTCCTGTTAACACAACTGTATCCTAAGCTAATAACGCACACGCCGCAGAACATACAGAAACGAGGCCTGTGAGTTTATTAGCGCAGAACATGTGACGGAGTGAAGAGGAAGAGCCTGCAGATGATCATTTTTCTGAAACACTTACTCACTTTTGGCCTTCAAACTGACATTCCTCCCTCACTGCACATGTCCCTGCCTGCCCCCCATCTCTCCTTATCCCTTCCCAGCCCATCTATCAGTCAGGGATTCTCCCCAGAGTCGTGGCAATCGCTATGTGTTTACACTGTGTGCCAAGTGCAAGGAGAGATGGAGATTCTCCCAGTGCAAACACACAAGGTAAATACTAGAACTGGTCGAAAAACGTAGAAAGGCTTTTCTGTGGGAGAATGCAGTTTCAAAGGTGGAACACTTCGTGAAAGCGTGTCAATTTCACCCAAGTTTAGTTTTGGGGGGGGAAAATTTGGACAATGTCAAAATGTCCCTTTTTGATTTTTTCAAACAGTTCTATTGACCCCAAACGGATTTTTTCCTAGAATTGTTTTTCATGGAGAATGTAGAAATTTCACGGTTTGTTTCTATAGGAATGAAGTTAAACCTGGAAATCGTGAAAGCCTTCGTGAAATGGACTTTCCATTCCCCACAGAGCTCTAGTCAATACAAACATGTGACAGGATCTGTAGGACAAGAGCCGTCTCTCAGTTTTAGGATAACTACCTCGAGGGGACAAGGGATTTCATCTGCCCAGAGAATTTTGACCCCAATAGGAGAGGAGACTGATTAGTACCTGGATATTGTAGGGATAAATGAGACAGGAGCGATTTAATTTGATATGCTCTGCACAAATGCCATGCATGCTTTCAATCTTCCTTTGAAAAGTGACCTCAGATACAAACACAACCAGACATCGGAGAGTCCGGCACTCCTGTAGCCACTGCCTTGTGCTCCCTGGTCTCTAGGTTTTTTCTGCAGATAAGAGGTAGAATTACTGGCACACTGGAAAGTGCGAACAGGGGCTGCTAACAGGGAGTTTCGCAAGGGAGTTTGGAAGGGGAGTGGGAAGGGGCGAGGGTCCCTTGCCGGTTCTATCTGTTTTCCCTTTATTCCCCTTAAAACTTTAAACTTCTTGCTTAAACAACCCTTTCAGCGGACAAGGGGCTGCAGACGGGAGTTTGACAGAGGGAGGCTTACGATGGTTAGGAAGACCCGCAACACCTGTGCCAGCACTGCTTCTGTCTCCTCCACCTGCGCCTGTAGCCAGACAGAGCGCCTGAGCATGGATGCTTCTACCCAGATCCTGGTGTGGTTTTGCAGAGACTGTAACTTGCAATTTCCACTTACTGATATCCAGGCTGAGGGGACCATCCAATGTGAAAGGTGCCTGCTGGTGGAATCTCTCAGGCAGCAGGTGGGAGAGCTACAGGAGGAGGTGGCTAGGTTGAGGAGCATCCGAATCCACGAGCAATTCCTGGACAGTGTCCATGTGGAGACAGCTGAGGTAGCTGTCCCAGTACACAGGACTGCTGATACACCACTGGTGGAGGAGGAGATGGCTCAGGGTGGACACTGGCAGCTGGTTACTTCTGGCAGCAGGCAGTGCTCCACCCCTGCTCCGAACCCTCCCGCTGTGGTAATAGGTAACCGTTATGCTCTTCTTGATACAGGAAAGAAGGCATCACCCCCTACAGTAAAGGAGGAGAAGCCTCGTACCCCTAAGGCTGGGAGGTCTGCTGCCACCACTGCGAATAGGAAACGTAGGGTAGTGGTGGTCGGAGACTCTCTGCTGAGGGGGACGGAGGCGCCCATCTGTCGCCCTGACATTTCATCTCGGGAGGTATGCTGCCTGCCGGGAGCCCGTATCCGAGACGTTACGGAGGCATTGTCGAGGATTATCCAGCCCTCTGACTACTACCCCATGCTACTCATCCATGTGGGCACAAATGATACTGCGCGGTGTGACACTGAGCGGATCAAGAGTGACTACAGGGCTCTGGGAGTACGGGTGAAGGAGTTTGGAGCGCAGGTGGTATTCTCTTCGATTCTTCCTGTCAAAGGTAGGGGCCCGGGCAGAGACAGATGCATCATGGAGGTGAATGCCTGGCTGCGAAGATGGTGTCGCCAGGAGGGCTTTGGCTTCCTAGACCACGGGATGCTATTTGAGGAAGGACTGCTAGGCAGAGATGGTGTTCACCTTTCGAGGAGGGGAAAGACCCTATTTGGACACAGACTGGCTAACCTAGTGAGGAGGGCTTTAAACTAGGTTCGACGGGGACAGGTGAGCAAAGCCCGCAGGTAAGTGGGGAACATGGAGACCTGGGAGATGGGTCGGAGACGAGAGGGAGTGTGGGCTATATTGGCAGAGAGAAAGGAGGGTCAGGACAAAACCGGGAGGAAAGATCAAACCAGTATCTTAGATGCCTATATACAAATGCGAGAAGTATGGGTAATAAGCAGGAAGAACTGGAAGTGCTAATAAATAAATACAACTATGACATTGTTGGCATCACTGAAACTTGGTGGGATAATACACATGATTGGAATGTTGGTGTGGATGGATACAGCTTGCTCAGGAAGGATAGACAGGGGAAAAAGGGAGGAGGTGTTGCCTTATATATTAAAAATGTACACACTTGGACTGAGGTAGAGATGGACATAGGAGACAGAAGTGTTGAGAGTCTCTGGGTTAGGCTAAAAGGGGTAAAAAACAAGGGTGATGTCATGCTAGGAGTCTACTACAGGCCACCTAACCAGGTGGAAGAGGTGGATGAGGCTTTTTTTAAACAACTAACAAAATCATCCAAAGCCCAAGATTTGGTGGTGATGGGGGACTTCAACTATCCGGATATATGTTGGGAAAATAACACAGCGGGGCACAGACTATCCAACAAATTCTTGGACTGCATTGCAGACAACTTTTTATTTCAGAAGGTTGAAAAAGCTACTAGGGGTGAAGCTGTTCTAGACTTGATTTTAACAAATAGGGAGGAACTCGTTGAGAATTTGAAAGTAGAAGGCAGCTTGGGTGAAAGTGATCATGAAATCATAGAGTTTGCAATTCTAAGGAAGGGTAGAAGGGAGAACAGCAAAATAGAGACAATGGATTTCAGGAAGGCGGATTTTGGTAAGCTCAGAGAGCTGATAGGTAAGGTCCCATGGGAATCAAGACTGAGGGGAAAAACAACTGAGGAGAGCTGGCAGTTTTTCAAAGGGACACTATTAAGGGCCCAAAAGCAAGCTATTCCGCTGGTTAGGAAAGATAGAAAATGTGGCAAAAGACCACCTTGGCTTAACCACGAGATCTTGCATGATCTCAAAAATAAAAAGGAGTCATATAAAAAATGGAAACTAGGACAGATTACAAAGGATGAATATAGGCAAACAACACAGGAATGCAGGGGCAAGATTAGAAAGGCAAAGGCACAAAATGAGCTCAAACTAGCTAAGGGAATAAAAGGGAACAAGAAGACTTTTTATCAATACATTAGAAGCAAGAGGAAGACCAAAGACAGGGTACGCCCACTGCTTAGTGAAGAGGGAGAAACAGTAACAGGAAACTTGGAAATGGCAGAGATGCTTAATGACTTCTTTGTTTCGGTCTTCACCGAGAAGTCTGAAGGAATGCCTATCCTAGTGAATGCTAATGGGAAGGGGGTAGGTTTAGCAGATAAAATAAAAAAAGAACAAGTTAAAAATCACTTAGAAAAGTTAGATGCCTGCAAGTCACCAGGGCCTGATGAAATGCATCCTAGAATACTCAAGGAGCTAATAGAGGAGGTATCTGAGCCTCTAGCTATTATCTTTGGAAAATCATGGGAGACGGGAGAGATTCCAGAAGACTGGAAAAGGGCAAATATAGTGCCCATCTATAAAAAGGGAAATAAAAACAACCCAGGAAACTACAGACCAGTTAGTTTAACTTCTGTGCCAGGGAAGATAATGGAGCAAGTAATTAAGGAAATCATCTGCAAACACTTGGAAGGTGGTAAGGTGATAGGGAACAGCCAGCATGGATTTGTAAAGAACAAATCATGTCAAACCAATCTGATAGCTTTCTTCGATAGGATAACGAGTCTTGTGGATAAGGGAGAAGCTGTGGATGTGGTATACCTAGACTTTAGTAAGGCATTTGATACGGTCTCGCATGATATTCTTATCGACAAACTAGGCAAATACAATTTAGATGGGGCTACTATAAGGTGGGTGCATAACTGGCTGGATAACCGTACTCAGAGAGTTGTTATTAATGGTTCCCAATCCTGCTGGAAAGGCATAACGAGTGGGGTTCCGCAGGGGTCTGTTTTGGGACCGGCTCTGTTCAATATCTTCATTAACGACTTAGATATTGGTATAGAAAGTACGATTATTAAGTTTGCGGATGATACCAAACTGGGAGGGATTGCAACTGCTTTGGAGGACAGGGTCATAATTCAAAATGATCTGGACAAATTGGAGAAATGGTCTGAGTTAAACAGGATGAAGTTTAACAAAGACAAATGCAAAGTGCTCCACTTAGGAAGAAAAAATCAGTTTCACACATACAGAATGGGAAGAGACTGTCTAGGAAGGAGTACGGCAGAAAGGGATCTAGGGGTTATAGTGGACCACAAGCTAAATATGAGTCAACAGTGTGATGCTGTTGCAAAAAAAGCAAACGTGATTCTGGGATGTATTAACAGGTGTGTTGTGAGCAAGACACGAGAAGTCATTCTTCCGCTCTACTCTGCTCTGGTTAGGCCTCAGCTGGAGTATTGTGTCCAGTTCTGGGCACCGCATTTCAAGAAAGATGTGGAGAAATTGGAAAGGGTCCAGAGAAGAGCAACAAGAATGATTAAAGGTCTTGAGAACATGACCTATGAAGCAAGGCTGAAAGAATTGGATTTGTTTAGTTTGGAAAAGAGAAGACTGAGAGGGGACATGATAGCAGTTTTCAGGTATCTAAAAGGGTGTCATAAGGAGGAGGGAGAAAACTTGTTCACCTTAGCCTCTGAGGATAGAACAAGAAGCAATGGGCTTAAACTGCAGCAAGGGAGGTCTAGGTTGGACATTAGGAAAAAGTTCCTAACTGTCAGGGTGGTTAAACACTGGAATAAATTGCCTAGGGAGGTTGTGGAATCTCCATCTCTGGAGATATTTAAGAGTAGGTTAGATAAATGTCTATCAGGGATGGTCTAGATAGTATTTGGTCCTGCCATGCGGGCAGGGGACTGGACTCGATGACCTCTCGAGGTCCCTTCCAGTCCTAGAATCTATGAATCTATGAATCTATGAAGCTCTATGGACACACAACTGGGTCAGTGTGAGGAATCAGTGCAGAATTTAATTCTCTGCTTTATCTGAAGTCTTTAAAAATAAATCAGAAGTGCCTGGCTTACCTGCATGAGACTGCATGTGCTCCAGCAGATTGTTATAAAACTGAAACTGGATTCCACAAGCTCCACAGGTGTAAGGTTCTGTGTGGGAGAGATCAGGTCAGAAGAGTCACACGGAGCGTGCGGAGAAATAGCACATATGCACATTTCACAATGGAACTCTATTGTGCCTGAGAGCCCAAGCCAGCAAACCATTAGTCAGAAGAGCTGCTCACTTTACAGGCATGTGAATAAGGGTTTGCAGAATTGAGCCCATAGTTCGGTAAAAGGCCCTGATAGGCTCTAAATCTGCACACACTGATGCCTGTGCTTAACTTTACTCCCGTGAGAAGTCCCCTAGGAGTCAGCGGGACTACTACTGAAGTTAAGCATATGCGAAATGTCTGCAAGATTGGGGCTTTAGTACGGGTACACATTGACAAAATACCCAGTTCCGTAACCCACCGCTTCTGGAGACTTGGTCTCTTTTTAGTTCCTTTCTAGTCTTTTTTGTCTTTAACTGAATTTAATTTTAGAAGCAGTTCTGTCATTTCCAGCCTCTGCCTCCTTTCCTGAGCAAGACGAGGCCAGAGGGAAAGGCAGAGCTCTGAGGGGGTGGAGCTCTGAGCTTGGCACCCCCAGCAGGGCATCAGGCAGTGAGAAATCCTGCTACCCAGAAGCTGGCACAAGTAGGAGTGTTGTGTGGGCAAGCAGCTTTCTGGCCACCAGTCAAGCTCAGACCAAAGTGGGCTGGTTGCCCTGGGCAGTGGCACAGCAGCACTGAGGGTGCTGAGGGTCTGAGCAGGAGTGCAGCAAAGCAAACGGAGCTGCGCCAGGGGCCTGAGCAGAGCATCACAGCTAATCTGCCAGTCAGAGCAGAGAGATGGAAATGCTGTTAAAACTAAGTCTTTAGTCAGTAGGAATGTGTGTACAGACTCACACTTGGACCACTAATGAGCTGAATGCTAGTTTAGTTCCAATCTGACAAGGAGAAGTAAATTGAAAACTTAATTTTTTACTGAGCTGACATACAAGTATATTTTCCGTTGCTTAGTTTTAATAATAGTATTAGTCGTCGTGCATTGATCACAAGATGTGCTATCAGGACACCATGTATAGCAATGTTATCAGTATGGCAATTTAATTCTGCATCTTCATCTATGCCAGCACATCTGCACCATTAGTCTGTGGTGTTACACTTCACAACAGTAGTTTGGATACAGAATGTATACTCTGCATATAAATGACTCTTATGGACTCTCTCGGGCATACACAGAGTAATACTCAGTGCTAAAATATACTACCAATGTTTATCTACACGTGTAGGGAAAAATACGATCTTACATTCTATTCCTGAGAAATACCATTGCAAATCACATACGCACAAAGGAATTAGCAAGCATCTCAAAAGGTCCAGAACACTCACTTTCCAGGCATAACTAACTTGGCTACAACCCTGCAGTCGTCCCTCTCAGATAGTGAAGAACAGAAACTAGAACAGAGCTGCATACAGTGGGAGGGGGGAAACCAACAAGGCCCCCTGCACAGAAACCTAGGAAGCTGAGGCATCGGAAAACAACCGTAGGGATTAAACACACTTCAGCGAAACAACAGACAGAATCTATACGAGCATCTGTCCAATTGAAATGAGGGGAACACTGAGGCTGTTCCAGCTCCGCTCAGCACTTCATTTAATTTGACATTATTCCCTTTATGCTACTGCCACATTCTCATGATGGTGTGGAAGTTTGGAAATCTTATAACTAAATCAAAATGGTTGTTAGGGGAAAGCAGGAGGCTTTGGCAACTGAACACAAGGGTTTTGGCACTTGAGGTGGAGTGGGAAGCTGTTTGGGAATGTGGGACAGACATACAGACTGGAAGTTTCTAGTAAAATGATCAGCAGTGAAATAGTTAACAATGGCAACTAGTAAACTATCACTAGGTTTCAGAGTCAATATGATTAACATGAATGGGGCAATTCACAACGCTCAGAGTCTGTTTCAGGCTGCCGACAGACTCAGGAAGACAGCACTGCATTAATTTCTATTTGGTTCATATTTTGAAAGTTTTCTTCACTTTTAAAAAAGTATAAAATTTAAAAAGTTGAAATTCAGCTGCTCAATTCTGTATCAAGGGGTAAATACTGTGGCAAGTTCTGCAGAATTCTACAGGATCCTGAACATAAACACTCAAAAACCCCATCCCTCTCCTCTACCCCAAACTCAGAGATACAGGACATCTTTCTGGGAAGTACAGCAAAATAAAAGAGCATAAATCAATTACACTAAATCCAGTACCCTAAAGCTGCATGCTTCTCTTCTTGATTATTTCCTTCAATTCTTTATCCTCTTCATCTTTCCTTCCAAACTCATCTCATCCCACTAGACTCCACACATATTTTCTTTTTTCCCTGTCATTTCGCTTTTTAAATTCTCAAATTTTCTATTTTTAAAAAGCATCTTCTTTCTCCTAGTTATCCCTTCCCTTTGTTGTCTACCCATTTCTCTTGAACTCTGTTCCTTTGCTAGTCTCTCTCCACTCCCCACCCTTCATGCTGTCCTTTGGATTCCAAGTGCTGTCCAGCTATCTCTCAATTCCTCACCTCCCCATCAGAGGAGATTGTTTCACCATCTCTGCTGGGAATGGCCCACCCCCGGGTATCATTCTTGACTCCTCTCCCGTTGATCTCCTCCCAGACATCTCTGAAGTCTTTCCTTTCTGCCCTGCTACAGAAATGTCATGCCCTGGACTCTTGCCTAGGCTAGTGAAACCTCTGTGACCTACCTGGCACTTGCCTTACACCCCTCCAGACTACCCAAAATACCCCCGTCATGGTCACAGTGCTAGGTGAACCTCTTGTTCCCTCCTCTCTGTCCCCTCCGAATGCACCCCCTCAAGTACCAGGCTTTGTGCCTTTACCTCTCCTGGGCTGGAATTCTGTGATTCTCCCACTCCTAGACTGGGCCCTGGGCTACAATACCCTGTATAGCAACCGTTCTTTTCCCAGCAGATCTGTTTGAGTTAGAGCGCCTGGGCGTATTCCCTTCCGGAGTCTGAGAGCAGTGTTGACAGCCTTCTTAAACCAGAGGATTCCTTATTTTGCACTTGGAACAAAGCAATTAGAAAAGAAGGATTTGAAAACAGTCAGCAGTCTGCACACATTTCTATCTTGCCTATAGGCGTAATGTCCACTTCTTCAGACACGCCTACTTGGTCCCTGAATCTCAATTTTGTTCCCCTGAATAATACACCCCTCTCGAGGATGTTCTTTTTTCAACTTGCCACAGTTCTTGCGATCTCCTGTGTTCTCGAGCCTTATGCTGAGTCATTCTTTTCCTTCCTCTTTGTTTTTCTGAACAGCCCCCTATTAAACTATACCAGCATATTCATCCACTCATAACCATGTCAGAATACAATACTCAGAAGTTATTACAGAGCAGCTCCAAATATGTCACACATCTCCCCGCATCGAAGCTGAATGGTGCCAGCATCTGCTATCACCCCCTTTGACCAAACTGGATGGGTACTGTGACAGACCCAGACCAGTGGGGTACAGGAGTCTGGTAGAGGGCAAATATACTGGTCACTGGATGAGTAGTTTTCTGTTCCCTGAGTGACCAGAGCAGGGGCTGCACTAGAGTAATCAGGAACCTGCTAGAACCAGTTAAGGCAGGCAGGCTAATTAGGACACCTGGAGCCAATTAAGAAGAAACTGCTAGAATCAATTAAGACAGGCTAATCAGGGCACCTGGGTTTTAAAAAGGAGCTCACTTCAGTTTGTGGTGCGAGTGTGAGGAGCTGAGAGGGTGTGCTGCTGGAGGACTGAGGAGCACAAGCGTTATCAGACACCAGGAGGAAGATCCTGTGGTGAGAATAAGGAAGGTGTTTGGAGGAGGCCATGGGGAAGTAGCCCAGGGAGTTGTAGCTGTCATGCAGCTGTTACAGGAGGCACTATAGACAGCTGCAGTCCACAGGGCCCTGGGTTGGAACCCGGAGTAGAGGGCGGGCCTGGGTTCCCCCCAAACCTCCCAATTGACCTGGACTGTGGGTTCTTCCAGAGGGGAAGGTCTCTGGGCTGTTCCCCAACCCACATGGTGAATCTCTGAGGCAAGAAAATCCGCCAATAAGCGCAGGACCCACCAAGATAGAGGAGGAACTTTGTCACAGTACATATGGGAAGATTTCACATGCTCTCACATGCCCCCATTACCACAGAACTTCTGGGTTGAAGCTGGGACCTGACCCTACCACTTTCTCCTCTGATTGTCTGCTGGGGCATCAGGCAGGCAGTAAGCCCTCATCCCCTACAGTGCCACTCACCATGGCTTTACTCTAGGGTTTCTAGGCAGCACCCCTGTGATCAAGACAGGCCTGGCCCCCTGCAAAGCTGGTGTTAACCAAGCAGTAACTCCTGGGCTCTGGTTCCCCATTGTCAGGTGGGGCCCCCACCTCTGGCATGCCTTCTCAGGGTGTCGGTCCCCCATGCTAGGCTACGTGGGTATGAGGAAACCATATCCCTTTTGAGTGACAATCCTTCGTTCTCTCTCCAGAAACCAGTTCCTCACTCTACCCCATCTCCAGGATGGTTGCGTGTCAGGCTCTATTGTGGAGACACCCCAGTTTCCACGATAAGGGGTGGCAGCGGACTTGCTTTCCTAGCCATTCCAACTGGCCTCAGAGTCCTTGCACCGAAGCCAGCTTGGTTCACACACTGTGTGGGGAATAGGGCAGAATCCCCCCCCACGCCAACCCAAGCCCATGTGCATTCTCACAGACACCTGGGAGGGCTTCTAAGCTTCCCATCTCTGTTCCCTGGCCGGGGCGGGGGGTGAGGGAGGGAAGAGCCCCTCATTCTCCCAACTACTCATTTCCATTTACAAAGGCTGCCTGCAGCTCCTGTGAGTGAGCTGAGCCGTTTGTCTCCCTCTGCCCCTGAGCTTGACCATGTAGCCGAGCTGGACTGTGGCTTAAACGTGCATCGTATGCTCCAGAGGAGTCGGCTGTGTAACTCCCTCCCTCCTGAGGGGGAGTCATACAGTGAACTCCACAGGTCTGAGATGCAGGATGCCTCTGGGGCCATGCTCCTCCTGAGTGGACGTGTGAAACAGCCGTTTTCTTGGTCGACACACGGGGACCCTCCAGAGCTAAAAAGCATGAACGGCTACAGCACCAGCTAATGGGCCAAGGCTCCATAGCTGGCGTCTGTGACCACTCAGAGCCTCTGTGGATCAGCACGGACGAGGACTTGTCACCTACACTAACTATTCTAGTGGTTAGAGACTGGGCAATTCCAGGCCATATGACCCAGTCTGTTACATACATGGCACCGCTTCTTCCCACTCACCCAGGGGCCCCGCTCAGGCGTCCTTTCCCTTGCTGCAGTAAGTCCTCTCCCCTGAGTGGCTTTACCTGTTCCCCGTATCTGGGGAACACCCACTCTGGGGTCCCATGTATGGGCCATTTCCCCTTGTGTTTCCTCTGATAACTAGACCTGATACCCACATACTCATCAGCCAGCTGCCCTGTGGCATGGAGGTCTCTTGGCTACTTATCCACTAACCACATCTTAAGGAAATGTGAACACAAATCGTGACACTGTTACAAACCCCAAGCTTTGCTCCATTTGCCTAGGTAAACTCTCGGCTGCATCACCACCTCCATATAAATCAACCCCTTAATCATTTAACCCCCTTAAAATCTTTTCCTATCAGCCTCTGGAGTCAGTTCAGATTGAAATTGTTCATAATCCTCAGTCTGTCCCATCCATTTGGCTGCTGGTCTCTATGGCTCTCCCCCGGCCTGCGAAGGGATTAGAAAATACAGCCAATCTGCAGGGGGACGGATCACAAGCCTTTGCAAAGCAGTGAGGTAGGCATCAACATTCTCCCCTTACCCTGCCTTAAACTGGGGGAAACAATTTAGCATCTTTGCTCCCTGTGGAATCAAAATCACCTCTCACTGCGCTGACCTTCAGAATCCTCCCCCTGCTTTGCTTCTCCATACACCTCCAATACCAACTGCCCACCTCACCTTCCTGGGTCCAGCTCTGTCCTGTCTACCAATCATTCCTCCCCTCTTGCTATTCCTCCGCCTGTGCCATGTTCTCACCAACCCCACTCATCTTCACGCTCCCTTTGGGTCCTTCAAATACTGCCTCGCACATTGCCCCTTAGGCCTGCAACGACCTCGCTGGCCCTGCTACTCGTGCGAAAGTCTTCTTCAAATCTCTCCTTTCCCCACTCCTGGGCTACTTACTCATTTAGAATAAAATAAGAATGAGCTTGAGAGATCGGTTCACCAGACCACACCACCTCTCAATGCACTGCCCTTCTCTCCCCAGCCTTACAGCCAGAATTCACATTGGCTACTCACTACAAGAGCTGCCTCGGCTGATGGCCAGGAAGCAGCCTGCATTCGCCTAAAATGACCCTCAGTGCTCATCTTCTACCTTTGAGACTGGGAGTGAGAGAGAGTGAAACAGAAAGAATGTCCTGTGGCTCTTAGGGAAATGTTACCACAACAAATGTCCAGCCCTAGCAAGCTGCCTGCACATTCAAATATATCTCAGCTGCTTAAAGCTTTTAAAATGAAAACTAGTTTTTGCCTACTTATAGACTCTCCAAAATCAGAGGTCCCAAAGACAGGCTCAGCTAAATAGTAGCCCAATTGCTTGCTATCTGCTACTCTACATAATCCCAACGAGATATGGATTATGGATCGTCATAGGACAACACAATCCTCTCAAGGGTCAACCCTCTATTTCGTTCTCTCTCTGGTTGCAGAGTTCAGATCAAGTGGAAACAATGAGACAAATTGTGCTTTGAAGGACTGTAGGTCTAAATTCTAGCCATGTAAAAATGCCAGGTCTTTCGTTTTACTTATCTGCAACTGAACCAGAGCATTCCAGACAAGCAGAGAGACCAGGCAGGCTCCTTATCAACCAACGCCTTAAAATTCGGGCATGCTTGGTCAAGTGCATGCTAAAATCTACGGAAAAGATTGTGTGTGTGCACATGGGGTGCAGGAATGACTGAATGTACCTTAATCACGCATGTGGATGAAATGCTGCTGTCTATTCGGGAATATCCGGCTTCACCACTCCTAAGAGTCAAGGTTAAAAACTGAGCAACCCAAATCCCTGTATATTAAATACTGACCCATTACCAAAGAGTCGGCCAGTGGCACAATGCCCATTCTTACATCACTAAGCGCTCAATGTGCCGAGCCATTAAGAGACATTTTCCTGTATATACATGTAACTCAAAAATGGGTTCATTTTTAAACTTCAAGCCTTGGTCTAGTAGAACATGTGTTTTTGCCGTGTTTGATAAAACCTGACACTCAAAGGTTGGAAGTAATCCAAAATGACACAGCAGCCACATACAGCACTGACTGTCCCCTCACAACCCTGGTTCGTGTCTATCTCATGCAAACCCTTAAGAACCACAGACAGAAGTGATGCTTTTTATATTTTGGCACACAGACCAGTAATAAAAAACAATTATTCATGAAAAATGCTAACAGGACAGGACAACCACCAAGGCTGGGTGGAGACAGCACCACAAACATCCATCACACTTACTTTGTAAAAGCGGGAAAGGATTTGAAATCAGGGGACTTGCGGTTTCTGCAAAAAAGAAAGAGATTTAAACATTGAGACTGGCAGAGACCTTGTTGCATCCTCTTCAGTTCATTTATCCTTACTCCTCTACCATACCTCCAGAGTCAGGAAATTATTACATGTACAGCACTCTATTTTGTCTCAGCAAGCTTCCCTGGACTGAGGATCTGGTTCTTTCGAAGTCTGAGGAATTCCTATTTTGAAATGTTCGCAGTTTTTGAAGATACACTGTAATGCTAGCTATACAGTAATGGGGCTAGACAACAGTGGTCAGTGCCAGCACAAGAAAACCTGGGGCCCCTTACAAGTCCTTTTGACTGGGAGACCCTGGCTGCAAACCCCAAGATTCAGTGTGCATCTTCCTCCAACTCTTTCTCCAAACTCCTAGGCCTCTCGGGCTCAGGGAAGCGGGAGCAGAGTTAAATTACACTTGGAGGAAGCACTTGGGTAGGTAACAAGTCTTGTATCCAAAACTAGTGTATGTTTGTGGGGGCTCATGGGAATACTGGATGGAAGTTCCCTATGACACGGGGCATCTTGCATGCTTTCCCCTCCCCTCAAGACCTGGCTGTGATAAAAAAGAGCAGACATCCCGAATTCCCAACTAGCTCTCAGTCGACCTAAAGCAGCTTGTACTCCGCATCCCGGTGCATGAGCATTGGACATTTCAAGCTATCCGTGGCAGCCTGCTACAGCTGCAGGCTTGGCAGTACTGCCACTAGTGGGGAACCTCTGCGTGTTGAGCCTGTGGAGGGAGAAGAATCCATTTCAGTGTTAATTCAGTCATTCAAAAGAGTTTGTGAACTGGCCTCTGTCCCACGTTCAGAAAACTGTAAATCGCTGCATCAGTGCATGACGCTCTCAGGGGTGCAATCCCTGAGGGGTGCAGCCTTGGGGAGCTAGACGTGAGCCTTTCTTGTCAAACCTCACTGGCCAAGCACGGCAAGTTTCCTGCTAACTATTTTAACATGATAAAGACATGCCATGCCAAAGAGGGCTTTGATCTGCAGGGGGCCAAGGTCAGTTGACAATGGATAGATGGATGGATTGGTAGCACTATGGGGAGGGTATGGATGGATGCAATACACAGTGCAGCATACGGTACAGAGTACTGCTGACTGTTTAAAGCATTTCTATTACTTGATGATGCACAAAGGCTGTCCATTGCAGTCAATGGAGAAGACTCTCCACTGGCTTCTAGACTGGTCCTACAGAGCCTTGGAGAAGGACAGACATTACGCACACACTGTATGTACACACACACACACAGACAGAAATGGTTACTTTTAAAAAAATCCTGTAACTGTGCAACAGCAATATTGAATTTGTATTAACTCCACCTCCCTGACCCCTCTCCCTTTCCCTCCCCTCCCCAACTCCATCCCAAGCCCCCTGCTTGGCTCTCCCAGTCCTGCACCCTCCTGCTTCCAGGAAGCTGACTGCCCACTCACTGGCTCCAGCCACTTCCTTCATGCTGCTCCTGCCTGAATGCTGCCCCCCACACTGCTGCCTGCTGCCCTAGCCCAGAGAAGTGAGAACAGGGAGGGCGGTGGGAGAGCTTCTGGGGCACACGTAGGGGCCCGGGAAATGACAGACAACCCATCTAGACCCTTGTCCGGCCCCACCTTTGGGAAACACTGCCCTAAGGGTCAGTAAGCCTTTTGTAGGTCAAAATGAAAACTTTGCACTCCACCCAGCAGCTAATCTGGCCCAGGAGGGTAGCAGAGCCAAAGGAGTTCGATCCAACATCATTCTACGTGGCCTCACCCTGTCATGCTCCCAGGGCCAAACTCAAATCCGAGCTCCTCTGCTTTCCAACCGTTCCTTCCCACACCCTAGCAGCACGGTATCGCCTCTGGATATACGGGCTGGATCTTGCAGAAAACACCACTGTCTGCAACATACTACGGGCCACTCTTTAGATACACCTCCCTGTTCATGGATTCACTGAGTGTAAGGTCACAAGGGACAATTAGATCCTCTCGTCTGAGCCCTGTGTAACACAAGCCTTTACATTTCACCCAGTTACCCCTGTATTGAGCCCAATAACTTGGGTCTGACTAAAGCACCTTCCAGAACAGAAAGGCACCTGGTCTCGAAGACAGGAAGAGAGGGAGAAGCCACCACGTCCCTTGGGAGTGTGTTCCAATGACTAAACCCCCTCACTGTTTATACACTTATACGGTGTAAACTTCACAATGCTCCTGTGTCTCAGCATCACACTTCCCTCATGTCATCCCCACCAAGCACAGCCATTCCCAGCACAGCCTGCTGCATGGGAAGGCTGAACAGTCAGAGCATCCATCCACTCGGGGTCCCCTGTAGCCTGGTCATGCTGAGAGCAGCCCCAAAGCAACCAGCTGCTTCTATTCGCCTGGGAAATCAGAGAGCTGCTGATGCTGCCATGCTGGGGCCTCCATCCTGGCTGGACTGTGGGGTAGGGGATCTCTGGGGCCAGGACCAAGTACAGAGCCTTGGTTTCCTCTTCAGAAGTGGCACAGCGTTCATACATCCTGGATGGCTTCCATGCCCACCTGCGCTGCTGGGTGATGGTGTTATTATTGGTATTATGGAGGAGCCTACCAGCCCCAAGCAAGATCAAGACTGCATTTGATTGGGCACTTCCCCAAGGAGCTTGTCTAACTAGACAACACAAAGGACGGGAAAAGAAACAGGAGAGCCAAAGAGGGGGAATGACTTGTCCAAGGTCACCCAACAGGTCAGCAGTGGACCTGGGAACCTAGGTCTCCTGAGTCCCAGTCCAGTGCCCCCCCTTTGGTGTGTGCATCTGTGCTATCAAACACATGGTAAATGCATTGTGATTGCCTGATGGTCGCTCTCTTCCTCCCTCTCTTCCCCTCACAGGTCCAAATGACCGAACACAGCGCACTGTTCCAGTTACAGGAGGTTGATCACAAACAATTTTTGGGCCCTGAGAATTCTCAAAAGGAAGGTTTTAAGGATGTAAAAACCAGTTTGAAATGAATGAACAACACACATCAGGCTCCTTCTCAGGCGTGGCCGAGCCCTAGCTCCGAACTGGCCTGTAAATGGTTAACGGTGAGTGAATCCCAACAAGCCAATTCCCTTCTCACTCCTCAGGCGGTTTGATTCGTTTCCGCCCCTCTCTCATCTCAGATGATGAAAGCCAGCAAGGTCCAGGTCGTTTCCAGGCTCTCAGGGCAGGCTGTTTGGGCTGCAGAGGGAAGAGTTTTGCTGTTTCCACTGGACAATACTTTAAAAGCGCCATGGAAACCTTTCAGTCACTCTCAGGGTACAAAAATCGCAATGTTGGGCTAGTTTCAAGCTGACAGCCTTGAGTCCCCCGAAAGATTTTTACACTACAAACAGAGAATAGCGTGCTGCCTTAGCCTGCGAAGCTCAATTCCTGACACGATGTGACAAACTGAGACTGTTCTTAAAGTGGTCTGTGAATGCTGACAGGGGAGTGTGGCTAGGATGGTCTGCATTGGGGGATGGGTGAATGACTGAAGGAGAATACCTGAGCATGTAACATGAGAACCCAGGAAGGGGGGGAGGCGAGGTGACACCTTTGCCCCGGAAACTGAACAAAGGGAGTTGGAAGCTGGCTAGTGACCTGGGCTGGAAGGCAGACAGGGCTCTGATCCCCTAAGGGGGCTAGGGTGCCCGGGGACCCCAAGATGAACCTAACTGAGGGGGTCCTGTTGTCTGCGCCTGTAAGACCTGTCTTGGACTGCATTCCTGTCATCTAAATAAACCTTCTGCTTTACTGGCTGGCTGAGAGTCATGGTGAATCGCAGGACGCCGGGGGTGCAGGGCCCTGAGTCCCCCATACTCCGTGACACACACCATTCCCGCTGCCCCCATGTCACACCCTGACTCTTCCTCACCTCCAAGGGCACATCTCTGGGCACCACTTCTCTCTCTCCCTCCCCCCCTCCCACAGCCGTTCCCTGGCAGCCGGGGCTGTGCCTTTAATTTTCAGTGCCTCTTGGAAAAGCTGCATCAGGAGCTCTACCCAGAGAAGGTGCCAGTTGCCTCTCCAGAGCTTTGTATCCGCGGCTCACGTGACGCGCACAGCACATCAACGACACTGTCGCTTCTCCCACATTTCCCCCACCACACGTATGGGAAGAAGGAACGGAAGGAAGGTAAGAGACTAACTGCTAACAAACCGGGTCTCCACCTACAGCTAGGCATCCAGATGGCACCAGAGCATTGTCTGGCACTCAGAGTCACTAATGCAATTCTGCACAGCCGACAGTCACCAGGAATGAGAATATGTGTTTGGACTCATTCCTGGGAGCACAAAGGAATGAAAGAAAAAGGTGGCTGGCTGGAAGAGTCAAAGAGGAGGGCAGAATGGGAAACAGCACATAAGGACGCAATGAGTGGAGGTCAGAGAAAAAGAATGAAACTGGGGGAGACGAAAGAAGTAGAGAGAATACAGAGAAGGAAGGGGGGGGATGAAACAAGAAAGACACAGTCACAAGGTGACATTTCATTGCTTTCACTCCATGGCCTGTGTGACAGCCCGTGTTCCAGAGTTCACCACAGATGGTGTTTATGGTGCAGTAGTTGGCTTCTGAAATTCACACACTGCTGGGATTTTTTGCTCTCTTGACCCAGAAGGAACATCCTCTCTTTTCTTCTCCACCTAAGGCACCAACACACTGAGAGCTGGCCCTGAAAGGCTTACTGGTGTCATTCAGTTCTTGTGGTCCAAGCACTGGTTTGGGCTAGCCCGCTGACACTCTCCCTGCAGCCTGCCAGACAAACTACTAAAATAAAAGAGACACAACAGCAATGCTTGTCATGATGTAAAGAGATAAGCAGACCAGAGAAAACTCCAGTTTAAGCACAGAGAAAAGATTTTTGTGAAGGGCTTTCTTAGTTCATTTTAGGTGTTCCTAAAGTTGCAATGCAGATACAAGCTGACTCAACAGAACCCTGAGAGTGATTTGATTTGTTTCAAGGGGCTGGAAGAGGGGGTAACAATGCATCAGTATTTAAAGCACTTTCAATAGTACAGACTTTCCTAATGCTACCCAGAACAGTTTCCCCTTTTTTCATGTTTTGTGTTTCTTTTGCATTGTCTGCTGCGCTGATTTCTGTTCTCCACATTAATTTCCCCTCCTGACATCAACTAATGGCACTGGCCATTATCTTTGAAAACTCATGGCAATCAGGTAGGGTGACCAGATAGCAAGTGTGAAAAATCGGGATGGGGTTGGTGGTAATAGGAACCTATATAAGAGAGACCCAAAAATCGGGACTGTCCCTATAAAATCGAGACATCTGGTCACCTTATGATCGGGGGAGGTCCCGGACAATTGGAAAAAAGCAAATATAGTGCCCATCTTTAAAAAAGAGTAGGAGGATAATCCGGGGAACTATAGACCAGTCAGCCTCACCTCAGTCCCCGGAAAAATCAGAGAGCAGCTCCTCAAGGAATCCATTTTGAAGCACTTGGAGGAGAGGAAGGTGATTGGGAACACTCAACATGGATTCACCAAGGGCAAGTCATGCCTGACCAACCTGATTGCCTTCTATAATGAGATAACTGGCTCTGTGGATATGGGGAAAGCGGTGGACGTGATATACCTTGAATTTAGCATAACTTTTGATACAGTCTCCCACAGTATTCTTGCCAGCAAGTTAAAAAAGTATGGACTGGATGAATGGACTGTAAGGTGGATAGAAAGCTGGCTAGATCGTCGGGCTCAACGGGTAGTGATCAACGGCTTTATGTCTAGTTGGCAGCCAGTATCAAGCGGCGTGCCCCCGGGGTCGGTCCTGGGGTCGGTTTTGTTCAACATTTTCATTAATGATCTGGATGATGGGATGAATTGCACCCTCTGCAAGTTCGCGGATGACACTAAGCTGAGGGGAGAGGTAGATATGCTGGAGGGTAGGGATAAAGTCCAGAGTGACCTAGACAAATTGGAGGATTGGGCCAAACGAAATCTGATGAGGTTCAACAAGGACAAGTGCAGAGTCCTGCACTTAGGAAGGAAGAATCCCATGCACCGCTACAGGCTGGGGACTGACTGGCTAAGTAACAGTTCTGCAGAAAAGGACCTGGGGATTACAGTGGACGTGAAGTTGGATATGAGTAAACAGTGTGCCCTTGTTGCCAAGAAGGCCAACGGCTTATTGGGCTGCATTAGTAGGAGCATTGCCATTGATCAAGGGAAGTGATTATTCCCCTCTATTCGGCACTGGTGAGGCCACATCTGGAGTATTGTGACCAGTTTTGGGGCCCCCACTACAGAAAGGATGTGGACAAATTGGAGAGAGTCCAGCAGAGGGCAACGAAAATGATTAGGGGGCTGGGGCACATGACTTATGAGGAGAGGCTGAGGGAACCGCGATTGTTTAGTCTGCAGAAGAGAAGAGTGAGAGGGGATTTGATAGCATCCTTCAACTACCTGAAAGGGGGTTCCAAAGAGGATGGAGCTCGGCTGTTCTCAGTGGTGGCAGATGACAGAACAAGGAGCAATAGTCTCAAGTTGCAGTGCGGGAAGTCTAGGTTGGATATTATGAAAAACTATTTCACTAGGAGGATGATGAAGCACTGGATTGGGTTATCTAGGGAGGTGGTGGAATCTCCATCCTTTGAGGTTTTTAAGGCCTGGCTTGACAAAGCCCTGGCTGGGCTGATTTAGTAGGGGTTGGTCCTGCTTTGAGCAGGAGGTTGGACTAGATGACCTCCTGAGGTCTCTTCCAACCCTAATCTTCTATGATTCTAAACCAAGAGAACAGGTTTGTAGCCTGGGAGCTTTGAACACCTTGTGACCAGCTGTAGGAGAGTTGTGTTGTAGAGTTCTACCTGAAAAGTGACTATAAAACAGATGTGCCAAACCCACGAAAAAAAATGCAGAAATTGGGCTTGTTTTTGGTTTAATTGGCTTGTGTGTTGCTTGTTGGCTAGTTTTTGGCTTGTTGCTTCTTTTTTTTTGATCGGCTCTCAGCAAGCAGGGGCAAGAGGGGTGAGAGTCAGGGGTGCACAGCGAGCCCACCATAGTCCCAGACTGCACGCCGGGGGGATCTAGTCACATAGAACGTTGGGGTTCTTAGGGATTGGCTTGTTTTGAAATGGGATTAGCTTGATTTTTAGCTTATTGTGAAAGTGGGGGTGCTTATTTACTGCGTGAAAGTTGGTAACTGTGCTATAAAACAGGCATGAGAGGGCTGCAAGCTTATCTAAGGCTGCACATCAAACATGCTCATTTTACAAATAATTTTTTTCCCCTAACTGCCAGCCCTGCTGCCCCTCCCCCCAATCTGAGAGTCCTTTTCTTGTGTATTCACCAGCATTAAAAGTTTCTGCAGCCTGCATGCTCTCAGTGACAACTGTCTACAGATTAAGCCCCCTGTGCACACCTGTCAGTGAGTTTGCGCAGGTATAACTCATTGGTCTTTAATTGACTTTGAAAACAGTTCTGTTGATGGTGCACAGGAAGGAAGATAATTCAGCTCCTGCTCCCATAGCTGAGCGGGTTCTGCCGGGCTCACACGAATGACGAAGTAATACACACTGGCTGGAGGTTCCACAGGTGCCTAGAGGAATTAGGCACCCAAATCCTATTGGCTTTCAAAGCTGCGCACCTAACTGGCGTAAACCTGTTTGAAACCCCAGCTACATATTTTTGTGCTAAAGGCAGGAGATCTGACTCAGGGAGTGGATCTGTCAGGTAGGAAGGGGCCACTTCAGAGAAGTGCTGCATGTCACGCCGATGAGTCCAGCACTTTATATGAACTGAAAGACTTTACAGTCATTTCTAGCTGCCCGGCTTTGCTGGTCAAGGAGACTGGACACCAGTGACATGAAGAGGGGCCAGGACTCTGCCAATTTCTTGGCACCCGTGGGAGCTGCTGCCCAGCTGTTGGAGGAGGACTAGAGAGCACAAGGGCCTGAGACACAGAGACAAGTTCAGACTCCTTTGTTTGTCTGTCCCAGAATAAAGTGAATACTTCATTTGTTCAGGTTTGTTCCCCATAGTATTATACCCAGTAGGTCAATAACAACTCGCTCTCTCTCCAATTCACTATAGCCCTCTGCATAGGAGGGATTTCTCTTTTCATACACTGGTCCAGAGAGCTGTACCGGCTGCTTCAGGGGAAGGTTAAACCCCTGTGATGGATAATTTGCAACATGCCCAAAGAGGAAGTTTCTCCTTACCCCTGGCAGGTAGTGGTTGGCTTATCTCCGAAGCAGGAGGGTTTCTATCCTTTAGCTGTTCAATTCTAGTTAGTGTAACTGTGAAGGATGTTTCTATTATTCTGAAGCAGCATGGCAGATTCTCAGATCTGGCACAACATGTAGGGCTCTTCTTCGACTATCATGCTGTCAGGTTATTGAACCTTACATAGAGATGCTGAGATATTTATGATGAGTCTCTCCAGGTGTGTACTTTAGCTCCGATCTCGGAGAATAAGAGGGACTGTATACCACTCTGAGGGAACTAGCGGGTGGGGGAGAAAGAAATTCCTGCAGGAAAAGCTCTACAAACAGTCAAACTAGGGGCGACTGTCTAGGCTGAGGGTTATGCTTTGTTGCTGCTGTTTTAAGATACTGACAGAAGGAAGCTCCAGGAAGAGGATACAATTGAGTCCTCCCAAGTGTGTATAGAATTTGGTCAGAGCAAGGTGGGATAACGACATGCTCCCCCATTTGTCAGTTGATGCCCTGATCCAGTGGGACAGCTTATAATGAGCTCTGAGACAGCTTCCAGGTACAACAAAGTTACCACATTCAGTATCACTGAGATGTGTAATGTGCAAAGTGCCACTATATTTATAATCCTCTGAAACCTCCAAATAGAGCTGCTCTGTGAAAAATGGCTTGGCTTCAGCGAGACTTGACTTGTATACCCACAAACAACTAGGCCTACTTTACCTCAGGCTTCCCCCAGCAACATTAGTCAGATCCCCTATGTCTGGATCTTTGTCTCCAATTTTAAAGGCATTTGAGTCGTAGACCCACTTATCACAATTCAAACAGACTGTAGGATGGCACAAACCTTGGGGTGATGCTGAGGAAAACACTGAGTAATTGAATACTTTACAGACTGAGCCTGCTAAATAGATAATTACTTTAATCACAAGTTAATTCAACTTCTGCCCTGCCCTGGGGATCGTAAATACCGGCAGGAGGGAGTGAGCACACTTACCACTAGAGTTTTGGGAGCTGCTGTTTGTTTCTTCAAAGTTGTTTTGCACTTTGCCTTCCACTCTCCTACTGAATGCGCTTTCTGCTGGGTGGAGAACAAAGGGTGATGATGAGTGATCAGTACTGGACCCAGGATTGCTCAGCGGGGAGGCAGATGTCATGCTCCTGTGCCATGTAATCTTAGACCCTGAACAGAGCAGAAAGGTCTAATCCCCCATCTCTGAGGCAAAGGGCCAGATTCACAGATATTTTTCACATTGCCTTCTGGCAGAGGAGGCCTGGATGGAACTCCTACGGAGCCCGTGAACACCATTCCTAACTGGACCAAAGGGACTGTAGTAGAGTGATGTGAAGCCTTCCCTTTTATCTTTCCCCTCCCAAGGGAATGAGCAGCTCTCACAGCCTATGGTACAGGTGACCAGGCCTGGGGATGAACCGAGGCTCTCACCATGGCAGTATAGAGAATCCACCATTAAGCCGCTATGCCTGGTCTCTTTTTGCATTGCAATGAATAACTGGCATTCCCGTCTTAAGATTCTCCCCAACAATCTGCATAGCAGTCTCCCCAGTGAAGGAGTGAAGGATTATTTGGAAGCCCATCAGTAATGATTCATGAGACCACCTTAGGGGGTAACTAGAAACAATGCAAGGTGTCCCTTCCCTCTGTACCCATAAAGTGAGCACATTCACTGCACAAGGAGACCACCCTCCAGGGACCCAGGCTCTGATTCCCTGCAATGCCCTGCCAGCTCTAGCAGCAATCCCCAAAGGAGCTCAGCACAACACTTTGATCTTGGAGAGAACTAGCTCTAACAGCACGTGACGATATCCTGCAGCAACGGCCATGAACCCTGCAGTGTCCTGGAGCCTTAATGTACAGCAGAACCTTGCTAATTCACACATCCCATAACCTGCAGTCTCTGAGCACAGATTGAACAGTGAGGTCTCATCTCATGCATACGTCTTTGCTTTTACAACAGTGTCACAGTAAATACACTGCCCTAGATATGAAGGATCAATCATAAATATTTAAAACTAAACTACACTTGCCAAATCAATGAGCACCGTCACTGCCTGGATGCATTATTCTTGCCTTTTATTTAGTTTATGTCCTAATGCACAGAATTCGCAGCTCTCAACGGGTCTATTTTCAGTGTGAACTAATGAGGCTCTGCTGTATTTTCTTCAGGGGGTGGAATGGATTTTGTGGGCAGAGAAGTTGCAGGGTGAAGTGAGGAAAGAGACCTGAAATTCAGGGGTGACAGGGTCAGAAAATTCCCTTTAATATTGATATTAGATCCTTGGAAAGTTGAGGCATCAGAACTAACCCCATAGATTTTCATAAACAGACTCCGGCTAGCAGACGCTTCATCACGTTCTTTTGCTGAACTGTGGCTGTGGCTAAGGACCCGCTCTTTGATTCCAGCCACACCTGGATTGCATGTGGCTGCTGATCCACGAATATGGGCCACTCAATTCCCTAGCCTGGGGTCAGACAGCTATTGACTGGCTATGCTGTTACAATGTTGAATTGGTGTTAAGCCCCTGATGCTCTCAATCCGCTCTGCTCCCAATTTTTTAAAATAAAGGAGAGCAGGACAATGTTGTTTTCTAACCAATTCAGTAGTTAAGTAATTATTACTAGGACTAGTTGTTAAACTCCAACGATCAATAAAGAAGTGTTAGGAATGCCAGGGCTTTGTCAGGTGGCGCAGTAGGACGAAGAGACTGTATGATACAATGGGGTAATCTTTACCTGTAGAGACCCAGGTTCAAATCCTGGCTTATGTCACAAATGAAAATGAGCTGGAGGCCTCTGGAGATGTATGAAAAAGATATAGTTCCCATGGTTTGGGTTTCGGCTCTCTCTCTTTTTTGTTTTTTCAGACTGACAACAAGAGAAACAAGCTGGTCCAATATTTCTCCTTGGACTCTTTGGGGTATTCCCACTTTAGCAAACCTTTGTATCCAAAGCAAAAAGTCAACCAAATCTTGAACCCGGAGACAACATCAGGAAACTACACAGGTCCCATGGGTCGCTGTCTGTGGAAAACCGCACCCTTCTGGAGGCTCTGCAAGGATCATAGAGGGTTTCCACTATGCTCTGGGTCTCACCCTGACCCATTTGGGAAGGTCTTTGACTAACTGGGGCATTAGAAAGGTGTTGCTTCAGGAGAGGGTCTACCTGGACAGAGTTTTCGGCCAATGTACTTGTGCTAGGAGTCCCAGCAGCCACTAAAATTCTCTTAGGACAAGACACTGGCTGGAAATACATCATGCACCATTCCACTGAAGCAACCAAACGGACAAGGTAAACCCTGGGTTTTAAATGATTTTCTCCAGGTTCAATTTGCAAGGCTCAGGCTTCATGTAATATCTCCCCCCAAAAAGGGAGAAAAGGACTTGTCCTGTTTACCCAATTCATTGACACATTTTTTGAATAGAAAAGGGAAAAATCTCTTTCCAAAAAAATCTCCCAGTATTTGCTCTGATGAGTCTGGGCTTTGACGATTAAGGCCCCTAATTAGGTTCCTTTTGCTTTTGTAATAAACGTGAAAACTGGACCAAGTTGTCAGAAGTTTAGATAAAGAACAAAAAGTCTCCTCCACTGAGACTCCTAAACTACATGAAACGGACAGACCTCAGTTAGTAACAAAATCAATGAAACGTATACGGACTGCCATAACAATAAGGAATGTCAGGACCCATAAGCGACTGTTGTTGTCAGAAGACAGGTCACTCCTTGCAATTTTGAGGTAGGGGCAGATGTGTGTGTCACTAACAAAAATAACCTAAGCATTGTTCTTGTTTAAAATGCTGGAAAGCAGAGGTCTCTCTCAACACAGCTCATCCTAGGCATCTGCCCATGCCAGACATTTCAGGGATGATTTAAACAGACATCTGCCTGACCCAGATATAAGAGGCTGGTTAACTAGCCATACTCCAGTATTACAATGTAGAAGGTCAGTTATCCAGACATCTGCCAGTTCCCGAGATTTAAGAGAATGCTTCACTATCCTATGGAAATGTGAACTCTACATCTCAGATCTTTCTTTTTTAAATTCTAATCACGATGTTTCTTATTTCCCATCTTATTTAGAACAGGGGGGCAGGAAAGAAGGAGACAGATATTCAAACTTGATTCTTCTTCCGTGCCTGCAATGTAATTGCACTGCTAATCTCGCTGCTGGAGCCCCTTGGTTCCCTTGGTGAATGAAGCACCGTTAGAACGTGTGTACGGCTTCCCACTCAACTAAGCAGCAAGCCCCGAAAGCAACATCTTGAGGCTAAAAAAACCTGACAACCCACGAAGCAAACCTCACTCAGGAAGCTCTCCTCAGTTTGTGACACCAGGATTTGAACCAGGGTCTAGTTTGATGCTTTTTAATAAGGTTTAATTTAAATGATAAATCTGGCACAATTGGGGATGGGAGGAGCTAGGTGATTGCTGATTTTAATGATCATTTGTATAGTGCCATCGTCTTAGCTCCTTCCTGTGTTTGCTTCTCTGGGACAGCCTTGATGGCAGTGGATTTTGAGTCCAGCGAAGGGCAAAAGGCAACCCAGGGCAGGAGTGGGCGCTAAGCAGGGAAGAAAGTCAATGGTGTAAAGGCAATTGGTACCTGTCGTGGCCTTGCTTCCTGGGGATCCAGAATTTGGAGCGCGGAACATCTGGGATTGGGATGCCGGTGGGATACCGGACGGGGAGCGGTGCAGGAGGGTGGAACATCGGATTATGGAGGCCGGTGTTTTTTTGCCGGATTGGCTCGCCTGTGTCTTCACTGCCACGAAGAGTGGAGATCGAGAGAACTCTGGATATGAAGACTCAGAACTAGTGCCAGGATAGTCAGTCAGCTCCCAGAATCTGTGCCATCTGGGAGGATAGCTTTCCAATAGTCATGCTTGTGATTCCCTTATAAGGGGACCTGCAGCAATTGTGGATCCACTGAATCCCATACAACATAAACGGATTTCCCCACTCACCCAAAGGGACAGATTCTTCAAGCGTATTGATTTTACTGTATACCTTTAGCTGCTGTTTGACCAATCCAAAATGGCCAGGAATCCCACTACTTCCCCTCCCGCACCGCCAGACACACCCAGGATATCCAGAGGGTCTATTTGTTTGAACAGGGACACGCTGTGAACAGGGGTGGGGTGTAGCTGCACGTTTATGCTTCACATCTGAGTTAAACAGTTTCTGGGCAAAGCTGGCTTCTAATTTGCTTCTTTGATCATGAAATCTAGAGGAATTTACATTCTTGCTCCCTGAGCCTTAAATGCCCCCAAGATTTTGGAGATCTGTGTCTGCCTCATTTTCCCCTCCAATTCGGCTGACTTTTTTTTTTTAAAAGGTATGGGAGTGGGGAGGGAGGTGAGCCATGAGTCAGATTTTCCATTCTATGAGTCAGGAGGGGTCCTTTGGATGCCATCTCACGTCAAAAGAGCTGGCGAGATGTAGCCGAGTTCTGTGCATTACTGGGGCTACATTCTCAGAGTGTTACCTGATGTACAGGGAACCTCTTTGGTATCTGCAGTGAGTGGGGAGGATCACCAGTAATTCTTAATGCCTAAAGCCTTGGGAAAGTCCTTTGGCACAGGAGTCCCTATCCAGACACAAAAGTTTTTTTTTTTTTAAATACTGAAGGATGGGGCAACTTGATAATCGCCCCAATTTCTCAGCAACTCTTTTCAATTGAGGTCTGGACATGGCTCCTGTAGCCAAGCATCACTGTGCCAAGCATCAGCCAGAGAGGGTCATTAAATAAGAAGGTTCTCTCCCTGCCCCTCGACCAGACTCGTTATTACTTTCTATTCGCCAAGAGTATGAGGGACCCTGTGCATTGCCTCAAGACTGTAGGGCTGATGCCAACAACTGTGTAACAGGATTACTGCTTAGGGTGTCTCTGCAGGCTCCCTGCTTTCCTCACCTCAGGGCCCTTTAAGAACTCCCAAAGGCTTTCTTTGGTTAGCAATACCCCTGCCTTGGACTAATTTAATACCAGAGCCAGTTACAACAGCCTAGAGTCCCAAACCAAAGTCCGTTCCAACAACACAAAGGAAAAGTCCATACTTAGCTCGGGCATTTTCTCCCACCCCCAGGACTCTTCTTCCGTTCCATTCTGATTTCTCAGCCAGTCCCTCCAGCTCTCCCTCGCTGGGGCTCTGATGTCCAGTCCCAAATGTAGTCAGGGTTTCCTGTCCCCTGCTCACTGGGCTTTACCATCCAAGCTCTGTGGTGACATGGCCCTGCAGGACTGCCAGAGCATAGCTTCCCCCTCTTATTGCAGCTGCCTTCTGCTCTTTAGAGGGAACTGCCCGATTCCCCTCAGAGGAGCTCATCACATAATCAGGGCCAGCCTAGCGCTAGGCTCTGCAGACTGGACAAATCACCCCATTACAAGCTGCTTTCTACATCTCAACAGCTTAAAGCGGAAACAATTCTCCTAGGTAAGGGACACCTCGTCTGTGAGCTAACATTACAAAAGCAGAGTGAGGAGAAACTCCCCGCAAACCAGTGACTCCATCCAGACTTGGGATATAGGCTCATTTGCACAGACTTGAGCTGGTAGATGCTACAGACCCCATACGGAGCTGCCCTCTCCCTTCGCTAATTTACTCTTTGCCAGCATCTGAAAGTTATAAACAAGGCGCACCTCACACAAAGCACCCTGTGCACGAATCCCTCCAACCCATCGTCGTGGTTTGCACAAATCCAGGGGGGCTTTTCTCTGAAAGGGGAATGGGCTTCTGCAGAGGAGTTCACTGGTGGCTCTACTGCGGCTTTGGCACAGACCGTTCTGCTCTGCTTGGCCTGTGGCCAGCTGAGTAGGTGGGGACTCGATTTTGCTTTCCAGGCTTCAGTTCAGCCCCCAGGGATAATCCTGCTGCAGCTGCTGCGGAAGCGGCAGCAGGGATGGTTTCCTGCCTAGGTCTCACCAAGCAGGGGTGGGTGAGGCTCTGCGGCCTGCGATGTGCAGGGGGTCAGACCAGATGATCATGATGGTCCCTCTGGGCTTAGGGTCTATGAGCATCCCCAGGGGCTGTTCTTGTCAACGGTTGCTTTGTTCCCAATCTCTACCAAGTGAAAGCAATGAAAACCCGCTGAATGTTCAGTGTCAGGAACATGCAGGGCCATCCCAGGCCCCCCTGCAGTCCAGGGACTGCCCTCTTTGTGAAACCTGAATGGTGACGCCTGGGCAATCTGACAACTCCAAAGCAGATTTCCCTTCCCTGTATTGACACTGGCCAGTGTAAATGGATACGATGTCTCACCACGCATCTCTTGAGGACACACAGATCTACTTTTTGGCCTCAGAGTATCAATGTAAGAGTGGGGGTTACTTTACTCCCCTTCCTTGCAAGCTGCTCAGAGGTGGTGCTTCCGATTCAGCCAGTGAGGGCTAGGGCAGCAGAAGCTACCGCATCTGAAAATGGATGGGCAGCCAGAATCCTACGGGACAGGCAACAGCCTGTCAGGGTCACAGAGCATTATTTCCAGTGGCCTGAAGGAAGCTTCAAATTTGTGACAAAAGGATCATTTTAGTCTTAGAGACACCAAATTGCAAATTCTCTCTGAAGTCCAAATCTAAGCAATAATGCCCGACGAATATATGCAGATAGGATCCTGTGGATCCTTTGCACATCTCCTGACCACACACAGAACTGGAATCCATGGAACTCATTGCCACAAGATGTCATGGAGGCCAAGATTCAAAGACAGATTGGACATTTATATGGATAACAAGACAATTGAGTTATAATAGTCAATGCTACAAAAAGAGTGCTGGAAGGCCTAAGCTAATCTCTAAATATTAGAGACCAGGGTCAGACCTAATGTCGGGGGCAGGTTATCCCGTAATTGCCCACTGTGGGATTTCTTGCACCTTCCTTTTATGCATCTGGTGGTGGCCACAGTCACAGCCAGGAGAAGGGGCTAGACAGACCATGTGCTGGATCCAGTCTGGCAATTTCTATGTTCCACTACAGCAGAGTTACCTTGTACAGAGGGACCTTGACATGAACTTCAAGTTCTACGCCTGCCAGATGGCGGCAGTAAAAGATGCAGCCAGGCAGCCATTTTAACAGTCTGCTGAACCTACTTAGTGTCAAATGAAATAAAAAGATGGGGGGAGGGAGGGAGGGGCTGGCTTTCTAACTACTTTAGTCCACTCCAGATAAAAAACTACACACATTTCCACATCAAGTTTCTGAAGAAAGGCTGGAGAGGTGATTGACTGATTGAGATGGAACCTCACCATCACCTCCGGAAGGAATCTGGGATGCCTCTTCAAAACTACCTTAACTTTGAAGAACGTGGTAGAAGGCGATTGCTTCCAAGGGCCTGGAACTTGATACACCAAGCTGACGTCACGGCCGCTGGGAAAGTGACCGTCCACTTAAAAAAAATCTGAGCTCATAGCTATCCAGTTTTCTATCTGGCAAGAAAAAGCCCCTATTCTCCTCTGGAACATCCTATCTGATGCCAGGGCAGTGAAAGAGGAGGTGATGGGATCTCACCCAGTACTGCTCACTGAGATGGAAGAAGCACAAACAGAGGTGTATCCAACCTCGTGAGAACTAGACCTTTGCCCTCTTAGCTGGTATGAGCCTCTGGGCAGGAACTAGGCCCACTATTGACAAGGATGGTTAATGCTGCCCTTTTGAAGGGCACAATGGCCATAGCCTTAAAGAAACAGTCAGTGGTTTCCATGATCCTTTCACGTCTGGTTTTCATCATGGGAGTGATGGATGCCAATGCTCATGCAGCTTTTATCCGACCCTACCACTCTGCACCAGTAACTAGGAAGTTTGCTACCACATCTGTAGTGCTCTGGTTCCTCCCTCGCGAGATTCCACAGCCTGCATTTCACAAGCCAAGAAACTGGAGGCTTTTTTGTTTGGTCAGAATCTCAGCTGTGCTGGTTCTATCTACACTGTAAACCATAGTGTTAGGGGCCCCAATCACAACACAGCCATCCCCTACCATGGATAACACACAGGTCCATCTTGCGCCATAGGTGAGACCTTACACATGTTTTCAACATGTCCCTAAATCTTCCCCAGCCATGAACAGCCGTGCAGCAACAGCTGGGGAAATGTTTAAAACCTACTTACAATCCAGGAGAGAGCCATGTTCTCTGGTCTGAACTGTATTATACATGGGTCCCCCCAACACAGGTTTTTATATAGCATAGATGGACCTTTCGGTGATACAGGAACATGTATTTTTTAAAAGTGACCTCCCCCCAACTCTAATAGGATGAAATCATGCCCTCCTCCCAAGCCGTGTATCTTACTGAGGCACTTGGCATTAAGAACTCCTGGCGATCATCCCCACTCACTGCAACTGCTCCCTCCTGCTCGGGGACGCGTCTCCAATCTGCACAGAAATCGGTGACAGCTCACAGGGTTGTATGGACCCACAATCACACTGAAAGCTGCTGCAGACCCCTCAGGATGGGAGCCCTCATCTCATCCTTCTTTTGGTCTCGTTTTCAAATAGCATCAGAGAAGAAAAAGAGAGAAACTTCAGCAGGGAAACTGAGCTCAAGCAAAGAGACACAGAAAATCTGAGCGTTATGGCTGGAGCTTTCCTTGCCTGGCCCCACTCTGGCTGGTCTTGCAGGGTTGGTGGGATGACTCACTATTTGCAGACCCCAATGCCACAGGCCAGGATAAAGACAAAGTCACCTTTAACTCCCCAGGTTGCCAGTGGATTGATAAGTGTCTCTCACTGCACCAAAACAGAAGTGTTCCAGCTCACCTCACGGGACTTTGGAGCCATGCAAGGCAAGGGAGAACACCAACGGCCGGCCTGTTTTAGTAACCAACCCATCTCTCTGAATAATCACTAGGGCCAGTGGTTTGTCACAGTAAATGATCTGAAAAGTCTCTGGGCATGGAAAAACAGGATGGGGAAAATCAAGAATGCATAGTTTAAAAAAACCCTTGAAGTTGCAGGTGACATTATTCTAAAGTGTGTTTTAAAACTAATTAAGACCATTTACAGAAAATAGTTTGAAACCATTTACACAGCCATTCTCCCACCCAACAAGAGGCGAGGAGCAGGGGCAGTCACCTCTCTGCCTGCACTGCTTCCCTGCCGTCCCCTTGGCCAAGGCAGCAGCAGAAGCCATGCTGCAAGGATACTTCTCACACCAACTCTGGAAACTCTGTGCCTCTTCCTCCAAAAACCAGAGACCACGATGGAATCCATGGCCTCTCCTATGATACAACTATATCCCTAATGATGAGAGTACCTAATCCCTCAGCCTCCCTGCAGCCCAGGTTTTAACTCAGCAGCTCTCCTGGCTCTCAGTGAAATGGATTCAACTCCACCTTCTCTCCCCCCAATTCTCCCCCACAGATTGTCCTAAATCATGAGGTTTTTTTAAAGCCACGAGAGACTCAGAATCTAAGATTCCCATTGATCATAATGCAGCCTTCTTACTTGTCTTGTGAATTTCTATCATATGATGGACTGAAAATCCTAAATGTTCTGCATAGGCAGGAAGGGGAAGATTTCTGGTGGGTCATCCAGCAGCTGGAATCAGAACCCAGGGGTCTTTTCATATAGATACTTCCATGAGAAGTATAAACTTGTCTTTCTCTACTCCGTGGGCTATTGGGGCTATAACCAGCAGCTGTTTTATGTTATTACCAAGAAGAACGGAGAGATTACCTTTATACTGGCACATCCTGGGAAGGTGAGAGTCTATTCTAGGTGAACAGAGATTCCATGCTAAATCCACAGCACAATGTTCCTTATTTAAACAAGGACTGGGTTTCCTTGGTTACTGTGTAGAACATCTGACTGGGGATCCCAGAGCCTTGGTTAACCGAGGATCCATCTATGCTGTAAAACTGACCTAGTGCTGACAATCACCAGTGATGGGTCTCCTCTGATGCCATCTACATCTGTAGTTAAGATCATTTCCTACTCCAGCTGAGGGGTGTCAGGAGAGACCAATTACTGAGGACATCTGTGAACAGTGGGCCAGTTTCCTAGTGGAGATGGGGCCTTAGAACATTCATTCTGTGAAAGTGGGTGACAGAGATGACCTGTGCTTCCATACCTTGCACCACTGTCCTCGAAATTATCTCAATACTCCAGAAAATTTGTAATGAAACTGGCAAGCTGTTAAGAGCCAACTACTTTTGACCTTCCTTAAAAGTACAGAAGCCCGGTGGACAGTGTCTCCAGTTTATTGTGGATAAAAATTACATCCACTCCATTAATAAAATAATAATAATAATAATTCAAAACCTAATTACAACAACCGCAATTTTGGTGAGCTATTGAAGAAACAAGGTATTAGCTCCCCCTGCTGGCTACAGGTGAACAGTTAATCAAAAGCTAATTCCAGAGCCATGCACACCCATCCTCCACTGATAGTCATTATGGACAGAGATGAGAGCAAAACAGCACCCACATTGGCTTCTAGCCATTAAAATAAAAATACAGTGCAGGGCAAAAACTGGGAAAGGAACATATGGATGAAAGTGGAAGTGTCCGAACCAGCCCCCAAACTCTGCCAGAACGAATGTAATTAGAATTTCCCAGGACTATTTCACTAGAAGTTTACATACGAGCTACATATAACTGCTGTTCATGACCTCTCCTTCATCTGATAGCTCTGCCCTTCAGAATCCAGATTCCAGTGTCTCTAGTAGGCTTTCAAGCGGCGCTGCAGCAGCTCTCTGGCACAAACATTTTATTGGCCCTGGGATTTAGCAGCAAACTGCCCAAGTAATTTTCATAACTTCAAAAACCATTTTGAACTCACTGTCTGTAACAGTTTCTTGGGAGCTTGTAAGAAAACCTGTTTCCCCACAGCATGCATGCTCATTTGTTATTTAGCGCAGCTTAGGAGAGCTTGGCTGTGGACACTGGTTTTTACTGTATGGTTGCTTGGGAGAGCAGGCGGTAATTTGTACAGGGGTGTGCTTGTGTATATAAAGACAGAGTACTGGAGCTTGTTATTTAAAACAATGGACACCAAAAATGGCACTGATTTTGCAGACAGATGGTAAAAAGGTCAGTCAAATTATGGATCTTCTTAACTTTAACAGCATCTCTTTAAGAAATGGTTTCATCTCTGCTTTACAACATTCTGGTCAGCACACCTTCAGCTGCCTAAGAGCCATATGCACACTGGGTGCAATGGAAGAATCCATCAGATCGGCTTCTTTCCACTATGCCCCTAAAGTCAATTACCAACCATTGTAAATCATACTCTGTAATGAAACAGATCTCCAGCAGGATACTCACTAATAGGTGCATGCAGCGCCACATGTTCCTGGTAGGGAGTGTAATATTTGTACTGCTTGCCACAGAATTCACATGTATAATTGCCAGTTTCTGTGAAGATGAAACAAAGACTCTGTAAGAAAGGAACCCAGCATCACCTCGCATAATTACTTTCTTTCTTACTTTTTATGTGTGAACTTGGTGCTTGATAAAAAGAAATAGCGTGATTCATAGTCCTTCATTCTGACAGGGAGCGTTTCAAGCAAGCATTGAGAACCACTTTCACAAAGGGAGGTGAAGCACTGTGATCTGCACCCACAACCTGCAACCTTTTTCTCCTACAGATGGGAAAATTAAACCCCAGATGCTACAGTGGTGGACTCAGTACAACCATCCCAATAGATCTGAACAGCACAGAAGGTACTCACAGGTTAAGTGAGCTGCCAAAAATCAGACAACGAATCAGATGCAAGACAAGGGCAAGAATCCCAGTCTCCTGACTCCCTGTCGCAGGCAGGAACCAGTGGTCCATGCTGTCTCTCCCTATGCCACGGCAATGGCTATATACAGCCAGTGATGGATGAACCACTGAATGTTCAAATAAGCACCCAGAAGTGCAAATTTTGATTCATATTTCCAGAACTTATTGGGATTGTAAAACTGGACTGGAAATCTCAGGAGAAAGGGCTTTTTTGCAAGACCTGTGGTACTTGCTGTGTCTGTTGGTGCTGCAAATAGCACAGAAATGTCTCGGTATTTTAGCACCATCCCTTCCAGCCAGAGCCAGAGAGATCAGACCAGGGCAGAACCGCAAACACAGGAAAATAATAAACATGTTAACCCAACATTTTCAAATTTAACAGGTTCAGCATGAAGTTTGGTCAAAGTCTGGTCATTTCTTTGTTTTATCTGCATTGGTTTGCCCATCTGACAAGCAGGCAGTGTGCAAACTGCACCTGTCCTCCAGTCAGCTCTGCCAAGGTACCTCAACCCCTAACCTGCAACTGGGATAAACTCTACCAAACTTCCTTTCAGCTGTGACCTAATCCTGGATTTGAGCACACACTGCCAAGGTGAAAGGTGAGTGCACTCATCCATGCCAACCCCCTCACCACGGAACACCATACCATACTTTATTAAAACGCATACAAGAAGGGGATTTGCATTAAGAACAAACTCAATTTCCTGGACACTTAACAAACATGTAAAGAAGGGAACTTCTGTAGACGTTTAAAATACATTTCTCAGTTTACGTGGCTGCTGGGTTTCCTGTTTATTAGAAATGAGATGTATCCCGCAACAACTTTCAAGTTTCAGCATCTTCACGTCAGTGTATTGATCTCCCACTGTTATCCAGGAGGAACCTTAGCAAGAGCCAGGTTTGAAACCTTATGCTATGTTTTATGACTTCCAAAACTGTATTATAAATCATACTTGGACCAATCTTCTGAAATGGTTCTGGCTCCTCCTCTTTCACTTCATCTGCTGCTATGACTGTCTGGTCATAAGGGTCTGCAAAAGAACAAAACCAGCAGAGAGCTGACAACACCCCAAGGCTTTCTGTACACAGTTACAAGCACTGAATGCACTGGCACGTGCAGTTACATTTCTATCTGACACAGGATTCCAAAGCACAATGTTCAAATTTCCCTCTTTCAGTCCCTCTCACTTACCATCCCTCATGCCCACCCAGATATTAACCCCTTCTAGCACAATAATATGATCTGAAGATAAATCAAAAATCAGAGAAAGATTGCACAAATTTCAAAGCTTGAGTTATATTTTTTGTCTTCCACTGCACCCCTCCCCCGAAACTAAATGTTTTACCCTGTTTGAAACTGGGCATAGTAATGCAGTATACATTCAGCAAACACTGGGCTAGATGGACCTTTGGTCTAACCCAGTATGGCCGTTCTTATGTTCACTGACCAATGAGGTTAAGCTGTGCCATCTAATGGCACAGCTTGTAGCCAATCAGAACCCAACCCATCTTATGAAGTAATTTCATTTATGCCACAAGCAATTTCAAAATGACTAAAACACTTATCGTTTGTTTCTCTGATTTTCACAAGTCTAGATCAAATGCATATGCAACAAAAGCCTGGTATCTAATAGGGCTGGGCATCATGCTACTGGCTGTACGTAACATTGCTACGCACTGAGAGACCGAGCTGGCGCCCACTGAAGTCAAGGACAAAATGCCATTGGCTTCCGTGAGTGCAGAACTGGGCTTATTGTGCCTGGGAACTACTGAATGCTTGTAAAGGTCTGTGAAATAAAGCACACAAAGGATCTCTGCTTACCTGCCCGGTTTTCTGGGGCCCCTTCCACACTAAAAACTAACACAGAATAGAAGAAGGGGTGGGGGGGGAAACAAAACAGAAATTAAATCCTCTTAAATGGCCTTGTTTTACTCCTGTATTTCATCCACAGGGTCAATGCAGTTCAGCACCACAGAATAAGCCAGGCTCCCTTCTCCCATCCCTCATCTCCCAGGCGGCAGTCACACAGGGAAATACTTGAGCATGCCCAGCCCTAGTGTACATAGATCCTCAAGGCCTTTGTTAGAACACACTAATATAAATGCACAGCTGCCTCGCACCCATGTCTACTGAAACACAACCAATCTCTCAGAGGCATCCAAGCAAGCGGTGTCTTAGAGAAACACAAGTGGCAGCCATTTTAATAGCTTCAGCTTCCTTATTAGCTTTGAACTAGAGTGATGACGACACATTTCAAGTAGAAGCAGATAGGTTGGACTAGATGACCTCCTGAGGTCTCTTCCAACCCCAATCTTCTATGATTCTACTCGTAGCCTATCTTTCAATCCCAGTGACTTAATGTCTATGACCCCACATGAAGGACAGAGAATCCAGCACCATTACAGGGTGCTGGGGAATGCCAACCGACCTTAATGCTAGTCTCGGGGTTCCAAAATTTCAATCAAAAACAGAAAATTTTTTTTGACAAAATTTCTTGTGAAAAACATTAGGGCAGTACTGGTCACGGGTACTGGCCACGAGTAATCTGCTTCATTGGAGCAGCCTATGGCACAGACATTGCCTGCTGCACTTCCTGGCTGAGTCAAGGGCAGCATTGACAGCTCTATTTGCCATGAGGAGGAGCTTGGCTAGGGTAAATAGGGCACCAAACACATACAAATAATGTAAAAAATCCTGAATATCGTTAAAGTGAAACCGCCGCCAGTTGTTCTAGGCTGCCAGCATTCACACTGAAACAATTCAACGTTTACACCGGAAAACAGTCCTTTAAAGCAGAGCTGTGGGAATAACTGATTTTTTCGACTCACTGGCAGTTCTGGAAAAAAAATATCATTCTGGGACTGAAAGGAACCGGGATGGAATTTTCAGCAAATCAAAAAATCATGTCCATTAAAACACAGAACATTTTGGTTTTAGGCACCATTCACAAAAGTGAGGCGAACAGATTGAAATCACTGCTCTGGGGCCGGGTCTTTGTATAAATAATCCCAGTTCTGCAGCAAGGACTTGAACTCGCGTCCCCCACATCCCACGCGAGTGCCCTAGCCACCAGGCGTTAGGCTGAAGTAGACCTTCCCTCAGTCCCTTTATGAATTTCACCAGGAAAATAAAGTCGTTTCCTTTCAGAAATGTCAAAACCAACCGTTCTGACATTTCCAAAAACAATTTTTTTCCAACCAAACCAATTTGCCAAAATTGACACAAATTCTCAAAGTATTTTTTTGGACCCAAATCTGCATTTTTTCAGTGAAAGAAGTTTTGCCGAGATTTCCTTTGAAGTCCACTTGCTCAGACATAGGCACATCAGTTCAGAACTGCATTGGCTGGCAAGTCTACCTGCATTTGGAGCTCTGTAATGATCCCACAGAGAGCCATGCTAAAATTGGGTCCTCTGAGGTCAGAAACCAGACACAATACGACTTTGCCTAGCCAAGGGCTAGACTGGCAATTTATCTTGAGGCCCAGAGCTATAACAAATCTGTAGTGATCCTCAACTTTACTATGAAGACATGGCTTGCTGAGACTGCAGGTCCCAGTGTGAGGGTGCTATCACCATCCAAACAGGCTGAAGCAGAGCAGGTTAGGACCTGATTTCTTTGAGCTTCGTGTTAAGGTTGCGTGCCATTGTAAGACCCCATGGCAGCATTTTGCCCATGAATCACACTTTGTCTAACCCCACATAAAACAATCACTATTTCCCAGCCCAATTTGACAAGGTGCTGAAGCAGTACTCACCATCCACCGCATGCAGGTCTCTGTGCTCTTGGAAACAGCTGTAGTATTTATATTTTTTCCCACAAATGTCACATGTGTACCTAAAATTGTCTGTAGGAAGAAGGAACAAATTCCTTTTAGAAACATTGGGGTGAAAGGCAAGAGCTCCAGTGGACATTTCTGAATCACAGGATCCATCCATTCACCCCCATTTCCCCCAGACTCTCTCTCAAATGGCTTACCCACTGTAACAATCACTGCTTCACACCTACCCAGGTGTGCATCATACACTCTAGCTTCAGACATATCTCATGAGTTTCAGTCATAGGAAAAGCCGGACAGTTCAGCTGTCCAATAAAACCTGGATAGGACCCACGCAGCACTGGAGAGGGGCCAGAACAACCATGCAGGTCCACAGCTACCACTACAGCTGAAACTGGCCCAAGAAGGCTGTTCTGGGGTCTCCTCAGGGCAGTTGTAGGTCATGACTGAGGTGCACTGGCAGAGCTGTGCAAGGACCCAATACTTGAATACTGAAGAGTTGTTGGAGAACATTGACAATACATTGACTAAGCTAGGCATGGTGTCAATGTGCATATGGGGTAATTTCACGAGCACCATGCACATTAATATTGGGGCGGGGGGGCAGGGAGGACCACCCCCACCCTGTAAAGTGTAGTTCCTCTGTTACAGTGACTGCGACAAGGGCGCAGTCATACTCCACAGATCTGTTCCTGGGGCGTCTGTCAGATCTACTGGATGTAGCAACAAAGACCTTTTCCTGCTGTTTACACCTCTTGTTAGTTCTGCAGAGCCAGCACAGCTGAGGGCTGGTATCATGAGCCTGCTGGCGCTTGTTTACCTGGGCCCCATGAAGCCAGGTCCCAGTTGGAGGCTCTGCCCTGGCGGTCCTATTGGTGGAGTCCCAGAGCAGCTGATTGGCTCGCTAGCCCTACTCAAGCCAGCGGCAGGAACACGGAGCTGTCTGAACTGGGTTCCACCCTGTTCTAAACTGTGCGCCTTGCGGCTCCCGCGGCTTGAGTTCCTGGCATCCTGACCAGGAACTCCTAGCATCTGATCCGTGCTTCTCACCCCGGTATCCTGACCCAGCCGCCTCCTGTCTTGTGACCCTGGACTCTGGGTCTGTCTGCCCGCGACCCGGCCGCGACAGCTTGTTTGGACCACAATTACCTTGAGGGAGCGAGCTTGGTGCGAGGATGGACCCAGCAGCACCACTGCAGCCACTAGAAGCATCAGACTCGCCCGGATGTGCCCTCCGCCTCCAGGCAGATAATCAAGCACTGAAGGCCCAAGTTGCCCAGCTGACCTTGGATAATCAGCGGCTGCAGGAGCAAGCGAGGCAGCTCAGCACTGAGAATACCGTGCTGCGCACACAGTGCAGAGTGCCTTGCAATACTATTGCCCCAGCAGTTCCGGTGCTTCATGAACCATGCCAGCTTCTGACATGTCCCCAAATCCATCCCTCTGACCAGGCTAAGGCAGCCCTGGTAATCTGCCTGCTGACAGGAGACTGTTCCCTGCAGGCCATTATTCAGGGACACAGAGAAATAACACAGTTTGTTATGATCCATTCCCCGCACTGCCCCCTGACCCTTGGCATCTCCTGGCTGAACCTTCATAATCCCCTCATTCACTGACAAGAACAGAAAGTCACCGTCCCATCAGAGCTCTGCTGACAGCGGGGCCGGGACCCGCGGACATTGCACCCAGACCCAAGAAGGCTCAAGGAGGTGTAGCTGCCCACACTGAAGCACCCGCGGGCGGAACTATGGAACTCCCCCCAAGCGCCATAACTATGCTCATGTCTTTGAGAAGAAGAATGCAGAAAACCTCCCCCTGCACTGGGACTAGGACTGCCCCGTAGAACTTCAGCCGGGCGATGATATCACTTGGATGGATATACACAATGTTAGAGCCTGAACTGACGGCATTGTGAGAATATCTCCAAGGGAACCTGGCCCGGGGGCTCATCTGCAAATCAACTTCACCAGCCAGCATCCCGGTCCTTTTCATAAAAAGGAAGGATGGAAGCCGCCGCCTCTGTGTTAATTACCGAGCCCTAAATCAGATAATAATCTGGAACCGTTACCCACTACCCCGATCCCTGAGTTATTGGACCTTGTGGGGGCTTCCTGCATATTCATGCAACTGGATCTCCAGGGCGCTTACAATCACCTCTGGATTTGATAGGGGGATGAATGGAAGACGGACTTTCGGACTGGCTATGGCCCCTTTGAATATTTAGTTATGCCACTCAGACTGACGCACCAGCAACGTTCCAGCACTTTATCAGCAACATGCTCCGAGACCTACTGGACCAGTTCGTGGCACTTAGACAACACACTGATCTTCTCAGACGAACTGGACCAACACATCACACATGGCCATACAGTCCTGGGGAGACGACGACAACACAGTCTCTACACTAACTTGGAGAAGTGCTCATTTGATCAGACTTCAGCTGAGTTCCTGGGATTCATCCTGTCCCCGGAAGGAATCAAGATGGATGTGCACAAGGTCCAGGCAGTTCGCAACTGGGCAGCCCCCCACAATGTATGTGACCTTCAATGTTTTTTAGGCTTCACAAACTTCTACTGCAGGTTCATTTAGAATTTTTCAAAACAAGCCGAGCCCCTCACTGCCCTACTCTGAAAAAACGCCAAGTTTCATTGGTCACCCAAGGCCCAGCATGAAGCTCTGAATTGAATCTTGCTTTCACCACTGCTCCAGTATTGGCCCACCCCAACATGGCACAAGCTTTTGTTATGGAAGTTGATACCTCTAGTACGGTGATCAGAGCAGTGCTCTCCCAAAGGCATGGACCCAAGCAAATGCTGCACCCCATCGCCTACTACTCAAGGAAGCTTACACCTGCTGAGTGAAACTAGGAGATCTTGGGCAAGGAGCTCCTGGCAATTAAGACCGCCTTCAAAGAGTCATGACACTACTTGGAAGGGACCTGTCATCCGGGCCAAGTGTTTACAGACCACAAGAATCTGGAGTACCTGTGCAGGGCCAAGGCCCTGAACCAACCACAGCTCCAATAGGCCCTATTCTTTTCCCAGTTCAACTTTACCTTGACCTACCACCCTGGAACCAGGAACAGCAAGGACAATGCCTTGTCCCAAAGATATGGCTCCGAGCCACAAGGCCCCAGTCTGGAACCAGCCCACATTCTCAAGTCCTATAACTTTCGTAATGTGACTCGCCGCCAGGACCTGCTTGCGCTCATCCGCTCTGTCTCCGTCTCCGTAATTCCACCTGACAAGTTGGCCATTGTTAACTGAGAACTACATGACACCTGGGAGGGGATCACATTTGTGAGAGACAGCCTCTATGCTCCCCTAGGACCTGCAAAGGTGGTGGTCCATCCATTGTGCCACGACTCCACCTTGGCAGGACTCTTAGGGCAATATAAAACCCAACGATTAACATCATGTTTCTTCTGATGGCTACGAATGTGTCCCACAATAAAGACCTTTGTAGCTTCCTGCCAGGTGTGTGCCTGCACCAAGATCCCTCGCCAGAAACCCTGCAGATCTCCCTAGGGTTGTATTGGAGGAATCCTGGAGCAGCTGATTGGCCCACTGGCCCTATTTAAGCCTGCAGCAGGAACAGGAAGCTGTCTGAATTCCACCCTGTTCTGGACTGTGTGCTTCCTGCTTCCACTCCCACATCTTGACCCGGTGTGACTCCTGGCATCTGATTTGTAGTTCTGATTTCCAGTTTGTCTCCTGCCTCCGAACCTCTCGTATCCTGATGCAGCCTGTCTCTGGTTCCTGACTTCTGGTTCTGATCTCCACTTTGCCTAATCTTCCGATATTCTGACCCAGCTGATTCATGATTTCTGTCTTGTGACTGTGGACTCTGGCTCTGAGTACTAGGTCTGACCACCCACAACCTGGCAGTGACAGCTGGTCTACACTAGGAATTTATATCGGCAAGAGATGTAGCTATACCAGCCTAACCCCCGGTGTAGACAGTGGTAGGTCAATGGAACAATTCTGCTGTCGACTTAACCTAGCTACTGCCTCTCAGGAAGGTGGATTACCTACAATGATGGGAGAACCCCTCCCTCATGAGTGTAGGTAGTATCTACACTGAAGTGCTACAGTGATGCAACTTCAACTCCTTCCTAGCACTGAGGAATTAATCTGAGAAAGGACTGAGCAGAATCTGCTCCATGAGGAGAATACATTGGCTTGGATATGTTTAAGTGATAAGTGCATAATTCCAGAAGAGGAGGAGAAACTAGTATGCTGCCAAGGGACTAAAGGGAGAGGGAATGAAAGGCAGGTTATAAAAATGAAGCCTCTCAGCCTAGGCAGGAAACTGAAATGCACAGATGATGACTTAGCCTGCAGGCAACGCACAGGGGAAGTTCCAGAAGACTGGACAAAAGCTAATGTGCCAATTTTTAAAAAGGGTAAACAGGATGACCCGGGTAATTGCAGGCCTGTCAGTCTGACATCAATCCCAGGCAAGATAATGGAGCGGCTGATAACAGGACTTGATTAATAAAGAATTAAAGGGGGGCAATGTAATCAATGCAAATCAACATGGGTTTATGGAAAATAGATCCTGTCAAACTCACAGGATCTTTTTTTGATGAGATTACAAAGTTTGGTTGATAAAAGTAATAGTGATGATATAATATATTTAGACTTCTGTAAGGTGTTTGACTTGGTACTACACAACATTTTGATTAAAAAACTAGAATGATATAAAATTAACATGGAATTCGTTAAATGGATTAAAACCGGCTAACCAAGAGGTCTCAAAATGTAATTGAAAATGGAGACTTGTCATCAAGCAATGTGTTTCCAGTGGGATCCCGCAGGTATCGGTTCTTGGCCTTACCCTATTTAACATTTTTATCAATGACCTCGAAGAAACCATAAAATCATCACTGATAAAGTTTGCAGATGACACAAAAATTAGGAGAGTGGTATATGACGAACAGGATAGGCCACAGATTCAGAGTGATCTGGACCTTTTGGTAAACTGGGGGCAAGCAAACACTATGCATTTTAATACGGTTAAATGTATATATATATATATATATATATATATATATATATATAGATATA